GGAGCAAAAATATGTTTGAATTTCATGTCGTATCCTGAAAATTTCGTATGCTGGGGCATTCATATCCTGAGTATTTGATTTTATAAAAATGCATAAACAACAGAAATTCTTGTTAGAACAATGTAAAATATACAAGAATAATTAATTACGATATATTTGAAGCAAAACAATTACGAGAAAATGAAATTTTAAATTAAAGTAGATACATAGAAATGTTTTTATTTTTAAGATTAAAGATTTTATCTAATAACTGAATACAGAATTTTTAGAAAATTAAATTATCATATAGGCAAATTTTGAAAATAGTTTTATATAGAAATATTTAAGTTCATTCAGTTTCTCATGTAAAGGAATTGTCAATGATAATGTATCTTAATGGCAACTTAAAAATTGAGTAAATAAAATAAATAATGTGTGTGTTTGTTTTATTTTTTAATATATTTTATTTACGTATGCATGTAAAATTAATTCTTGTGGATCATCTGACGTTTTGCTGAAAACATTTAATAAGTGTCAACTATTTGAACTAAGCAGTTATCTTGTTTATTTCTTTATCAATGTCACCAAGTTTTGTGAACTTTTATTATATTGTGGTATCAGATTATTTAAAATTTTGTTTTTATCAATGATATTATCAACATCATTATTAAATATGTAATTTTGGGGGAATAAAAAACATATGTTATGAATAGGGACTTTCTTTTCCTAGAGATACATATTCAATAGAGAGGTTGAGACGCACGTTTTAAACGTGTACGTGTGACGTTCGGCGCCGCTTTCCCGTAAGCCTAAAAGTTTGACAATGGTGTTTGGATAGTCGGTGGAATCACGCTCGACATTCCAAACACCATCGTCAAACTTTTAGGCTTACGGGAAAGCGGCGCCGAACGTCACACGTACACGNCGCTTTCCCGTAAGCCTAAAAGTTTGACAATGGTGTTTGGATAGTCGGTGGAATCACGCTCGACATTCCAAACACCATCGTCAAACTTTTAGGCTTACGGGAAAGCGGCGCCGAACGTCACACGTACACGTTTACACGTTTAAAACGTGCACCTCAACCTCTCTAATAACTTTAATCATTCTTTAAATTTGGTTTTGGGTTTTTTCTGGTACTTTACTTTCCATAGAAGCAAATACTGTAATTTTATAAGATGAACATTATTTAAATTAATATAATGCATAGGAAAGTAATTTTTTTAAAAAAACTATGATTATATATATTTGGATTTCATTTATGTCTCTTACAAGATAGACATTTTATTGAAACATTTTTACTGTTTATTTTTATGAAGAAGATATTAGAAAATAATAGGATAACATCATGTACTTTATTTTTTAAAACATTTCTTGTATCAAGAATATTTGAAAATTTGATATAAAACTATGTAGAACCTATGAAAACTTTATATAAACTTGTACTACAAAATGAACATCTAGTTATAAGTAGACATCTAATTGATTTATTATATAGGCCTATTACATTTATTTATATATAATTTGTAGACAAGATATTGAAAAAAGTTATTCAGAAAGACTATTAAAAAAATGCAATTATTATTTTAATAAAACAAGCAAATTTATAAGGGTAATTCTATTTATGTGATCAATTCATTGAAGGAGATCTTTTTTAATCAAATATTTAAGCATTTTGACATAGACGTTTTCTTATCATTTTAAGAGATGTAGTTCATTTGAAATAACCAGACACTATATCACCATACACTTTCTTTTATGTAGCCATAGTAAAGTTATTGCATACTAAAAAAGAATCGTATTATTCGTAACATGTGAAAATGTACTTAAATTTTAACATCTATAAAAAGTTACGATTATATAGAACTTTGATTTAATTATTATTCTATAAAATATTAATTTTATCTGAAAAATTTTAAAAATAATAACATAGAAGTAGTTTAGACTTATTATTATTCACATAAAAAATGAGTTTATTTTTTTAAACTATATTCTAGAATTAAAATCAGTGATATGGTTTATCACTGATTTTTAATACTAGAATAGTAACAAAGAAATTTTCAAAGCATTTCAATGAATAAATATTAATCTGCATGACTATCCTAAATACTTTGCATCTTCATTCTTCTTCTTGAGATAAATATAGCTTCATAAAGCTTCTGGCAGAATAATTACAAGTGCAACAGTATTTATAAAAAGTATTCATTCTTTTTTTATTAAATATCATTCAATAAAAAAAGAATGAATACTTTTTATAAATACTGTTTTGAAAAAAATATAAGTAGAGCAATGATACTCAAATCTAAAATTATTGAATTAAATTTGTTTCATCTTCTGAAATAAAAACATCATTGAAAATATAAAGGAGGAATAAACTATTTATAATAAATTTTAAAAAATTGTTTACAAAAATTTACTTTAATTTTTAAATTAATTAAAATTTTTTAAAAATTAATAATGATCTTTATAAAAAAAAACAATGTTTTTTTCTTTTTAAATTAAATTTTAATGATATATTTACATTTTTAAAATAGAAGAATTGATATTTGTGTTTAAACTAATTTGATGCTATTCCAACTTTCAAATTTGCTTTATACTGTATTTATTTTGTTTTAATTCCATATAAATATATTTTTTATATCGAATGTATATATTATATTTGATAAAGGAAAGAAACTTAAATGAAATTGTAAATATCTGATATGGTATCCATTATATAGGAATAAATGTACTGTATGCAAATAAATTTTTTCAGTTATATTGACGATAAAACTTGCTCATGAAAATTTAGATAAAATATGGCTAAATTTCTTTCCTTAAAAAGATCTTCTGCATTTTATATGTAATATGCAAATAGAAATATTGATTTTCTATATAAATATACTTTTATCATTCAATATTTTTTGTAAGTTAAATTTATTTTTCTTTTCTTAACTTTATCCGTCCCATTGATGCCGAGATGGCTTTTTAACTGTTATACCTGTCTTAAGTTGAACCGAACCTGCAATGGAGTGATGAGGGAGGGAGCTCGATACATCCAGCTCGGATGTCCCTGAAAAATTCCTTTGGTTCCTTGGATTTGATCAGGGTCCCTCTAGAGTGGTAGGCTGATGCCATTCATAAATAATTTGATGAATTTTGAATACAAATTTGCTTAAGCATTGAAAGTATTTATCAAAATTGAGATATTTGAAATGTTTAATTTCAAATCTGACAGTACTTATATATATATATATAATTCTAGGATAAAATATAAATAAAAGAAATGATAACTATTACATTAATTTTTCACTGTATATAAGTAATAATGTGAATTTGTCATGTTGTCTTTAAATAATAATCTAAATAATATTATATGCTGTACACCTTCCTACATAATTCCTTGCATGCTTCAAGCTACAATGCACGTTTATTCAATTAGTGAAATGTTATGCTTTAAATTTTCTCATTTTCAAAGCAATAACATTTTTAGATTTCAAAGTATATAAAAAAAGAAAACATTTGTAGTTCTTATTTTAACAGATTTAGATTTAATATAATGTTTGTATTTAAGAATTTTAGTGCAAAATTTTGTTATATAAAATCTAAGATTTTGAGATAATAAATTTGGCAACATCTTCACAATTTAATTTAATTGGATAGCCTTATTTTTATTTTGAATTGTGCTAAAAAAATCCAAAATGTTTTAATATTTTTCTAAAAATTACAATAAGTGGTAATGGTCCTTACGTGCGGCGGCATTGTGTTTCACCATCTCTTTTGTTATTAAGCCGACGTCTTATAATTTATTTAAACGACAGATGGTTCGATGTAATTTAGTAATTCATTTAGAATGTCTCAATCATTCAATTGAAGGCTACTTTAACTATTTACAGAGAGCCATTGTGAGCGATCTCAGAAATCAAGCCGCAATAAGTTTCTCAGTTGCGAAGTTCAAAAATAAATGTGTCCACACTAGTGATATATATCTGGCAGAACACTCAACTTATAGTATTTGTTTCTGATATATACTGTTTGTTGTTATTCTTGCAGGTCATGTTTTCATTCTTTACATAACAATGATGCTGTGAATAATAATATATAATGCACATATTTTTGCATAAGTTTTCCTCTATGATTTATTTATTTTTAACTAAATCTATATATTTTTTTAACATAATTTACTAAAATTTAGTGCTGCCATTTTAAAGATTTGTTAGAAAGAAGCTAGTGAAATATTTTGTTGCTCGTGTTGCCTTAAAAAAGTCTAATCATGTCAACCTTGCATCGCTTGGCACAGATGCAAATGATGAGAGTAAAAAGATCAAGTGATAGTTACTGGTACTGACCACAAAAATAATTTACTTGCATAATTTAACCAGGATAAAAAATTAATTATTGTTGGTATTTATTTGTTTTACTTCTTAATTAATGAAGGTGTATGTTAAATTTGTTCTAATTTATAGTTTGCATTTTTAAATATGTATTTTAAATTTGATTTTGTTTTTTTTTTTTTAAACCATTCACAAATTTGTATATATTATTCAAAATATTCTATTCTTCTTTTTAATGCTTCCCCCTTTTTTTGACGTCTGCAGCATCTTTGTTTATAGACGTTTGTACTATTTTTAGAATGAGTAAATGTTACCCAAGGCAGACTGCTTTAGTAGCAATTGTTTCATTCATTCATTCATTAAGAAAAAATGTTGACTAAATGAATAAACTTTTGTGTTTGAGCTCTGTAATTTATTTACAGTGGTACTATGTAAATGCATTTTTGTATTTTTTTATATGTAGAAAGTTTGTTTATATTATGCAATTATCTGTTAAAAGATTTTTGAAATTGTAAAACAGCCAAATTGTTTCTACACAAAAACATATTTTACATGTGCATTGACTAGAAAATGACCGTTTCATCAGTCGAGTTCACCTGAATACCTTGAATCGGTTCATCAAATTTAAACATTTTATGCTAGCAATAATTTAAAATTCTGATTTTTTCATAATATCTGTACCAAACTTTGTGAAATTTATAATTTATTTTCTGTGATAGTAGCTCTCCGAGACCTGTGTTTCAACCAATTAATGATAGACGATCTCACTCTCATAGAAATCATCAAGAAACGATTACGCCACAACACGAGGAAATCACTAAATACATTCATGAGAGTGAGTATAAGTTATTCTTATTCATTTATTTAATGATGTGTTTGTGTATGAAGTGTATATATGTATGTATGTGTGTGTATATATATATAAAGAACAGTCATAAACATGTGATTAAATCGTTGTAAAAATATATTGATATATTTTTAATTTGTCAAATGAATAAAATTAATTATCTAGAATGCTAATAATTGAACATCTTAAAATAGATTACACAAATTCTACTATTAAAAATTTGAGGATAGTTTTTATTCAATTTTTAACCACATGCAAATCATGAACTATGTAACTTTGAATAATAATGAGTGCATATTTATGAAAATAGGATAAAAAATTGTTAAAACAATACATACGCACTAAATCTACTTATCTACTTCTTTAATAACTAATCTACAATTTTATTTTTTAACATTAAAGTCATAGTTAATTTATATTGAGTGTTCATTTAAATATCATGAAAAACTTCAAACTTAATTGTTTTGGTGTAATTTTACTGTAAACTATCAATACTAAAAATATATTAATGCTTATTAGAATAACAAATATATTGTAGAGTCTTCTATCAGATTTCTGTATCATACAGAAAGGAAGTAGATAAGATTTTGAGCAAGCTTGACCTTTGTTTATTTCCTAACTCTTGAACTTTCATTCACTGTAATCAAAACAACCGAAAAAGTTATCAAACTAAACAGTTCTTATCGAATATCTGTTGGATTATTAGTTTTTAAATATTTATAAATTTATTTTATTTTATAACATTTAATATTTTTACAATTATATTAACCAATTTTGTGGTTTTACTTTCCCTTAAAGCTTGGAAACTGATTTTCCGTGAATACGAGTCTACGAAACAGACGTCTGTTGATGGGAAAGGTTTGTCCTTAACTTTCTTTGCTTTTTTAATAAAATTTCTTATAAATCTAATTATAAAATCACAATGTAATGTTTTAATTCATTATAAAAAGTATTGTTTTGATATCTTTTCAGTAGCTAGAGTTGTATATTATCAAGACAGAAATTCAAATCAAAGATTAAAGAGTGAGTATTAGCGGGAAAAATACTTTTGATTCTTTAATGTTTGACTTTGTTAATAATAAACCTTAAACTTATATATATTTGTTTATGGTTTTATAGATTTTGAACCCTTCGATTTAGAACTGTACTGGGGCGAAAGACTGCTGCAGAATATCAAACAGTCGACATAACGTAACACAACTTATAGGTACACCGAAATTTGGGACAGACTAGTGCATTAGGGAAGTGTGTGTTTAGTATCATTCCATTGATTTGTTGCATATAACAGCTGTATCATAGATTATTCATCTAAACAAAAATATAGAACGATAATAAAATTATCCGGGAGAAGGTGAATTAGGCATTCATAAATTTGATTCTCCATGTATCTTTCGGATTTATTATCTTCTGGAGAAATAATTCTTGTACAAAAGAATATATGAAATTTGTACATTTACTTGAAATGATTCAGTTTCTGTACACATTGAGCTATATAACCACTGATACATAAAGAAAAAAAATTACAAAAAGAGAAAACGGAGAGCTCAAATAGAATGCTTAGAATGCTAGATAGTCATGGTATTAAAAATAAAAGTTTTTTATTTATTTTGTATTTTTTTTATGATAAAATGGAAATTTATACAAAGTTTATGCAAAGTTATAAAATTATCTGAATATATTACAAATGCATAACAATTCTACACTAAATTGCACTTTTCATATTAAGTTTTGATTTTAACTGTTCAATCTCTGTTTCTTGTAGATGAACTTCTGCTGTTGTTTCTGCTAGCTAAAATAATTACAAAAAATTAACGTTCTAATTAAATCTTTTCAAAGATTTCTGAATGTGATATATTGAAAATGCAATACTGAGCATCGATTATCCAAATATCGATCAACTGAAATGTCAATTAACCAAAAGCTTTCTAGTCAGCAAATTTAAATTTCCACTAGTGCTGTGGCACTGCAATCTTTGGCTATGTCTTGGGCTACTCCAATATTATTTTTGTTGGTGTGTGTTTTAGCTGGCAGCACTGATGTGACCATGAGAGGGTACTTACGGACATGCCAGGATTTGAATGAATTTCAACATGGGATAGGTTAATATATTTTTTCATACCTAATCGGTTATCCGAAAAATTGATTTTCCAAACAACACCAGTTCCCAATTGATTTGGATAATCGATGCTCTACTTTATATTATTTTAAACCAGGTTTAAACACTTGCAAGATGAACTTTGATTGATTGAATTTTTAAGACTGATCATAACCTCTTTGGTTATGTACACAATCTCCAGCACACGGCATTAAAAATATGCTGCTTCTATGGGAAAATTCTTTATGAAAAATACTTGAAAATGAACCAAACAGGTTTTTGTGGTAGAATCCTATTTAATTCTAGTGTCGTACACTTTAATGCATTCAATTTTCAAAATTCTAAACTGTACATTACTAAAATAATTAAATAGGATTCTATCTGCTTATGTTTGAGAATTTTTGGAAAGGTCTTTCCTATAGAAAAAGCATTATAGTTTTAATGACATCTGCTGGAGTTTGCATGTATAACTAAACAGGTTAAGATCAGCCTTTATATAAAAATCTACAATGTAATTTTTAAATTAATTTTTCATAAACTATCAAATTGACATTTTATGATGATTCAGTAATTAATGTTTTTTATTCAATTAAAATATGGAATTTCTAAGAGATTTTTGAATTTACCCATGAAATGTTGAATCATCATACGTATGTGGAACTGCTTATGAATAAAACATAAGAATAATTGTTTCTTTAATTAGGTTAATTTAATTTTAAATGCTTTAAATAATGTTTTATAACAAAATATTCAATACAAGAAAGTAACTTTCACTGAAATTACAAATTGTTATGTAGGCATTTTTAGTACAAATTCAATAAGGATCAGCCTCTGAAATTTTATAATTTTGTGGAATCAATGAGAATAATATATTAACTATAATCTATTGTAATATATGGTAGATATATGCCAGGGCTGGCCAAACCTTGTCATGAAAGGAACCGTACATCACCTATCAGAAATGTGAAAACTGCATTCTCTATTCAAACTCTTTTATGTAATGAGTATGTATTCCTGTGTATTTTATTATAATAATTAAATACACAGGCTGCAGTAAGGGTATAGAAGAACTGCATTTGGTTTACAAGCTGCAGATTGGTCACCTTGGATATATGCCTTTATGTCAATTTGAAGCTGTTCATTTTCATAATGAATGAAAATAAAGTATCCTCTATCACAGGCCAAACAAAACTATTTAAGATTAAATATACCTGTATTTAAAGAATTTCTTAAATTAGTTTAGCTTACCATATCTAATAATATTTCTACTTTTAATTTGAGTAAGTTATTTTCTTTCTGCAACTCTTCATTTTGTATCTTTAGTTGTATCACAGTTTTGGGACTTTCAGCATAAGATGCTTAAATAATACACACAACATAATTAAAATTGATCACTCATTAACGATGATGGTGATAAAAATATTCACTCACTTGATTGCCATTTCCCATCTTTGAATATGGATTCCTGATTTCCAAGTTTTACGGTAATTGGTCCGTATTCTAAACCAAATTCAGTCTGGTTCTGGGCCGGATCGAATTCTCTATGCAGTCTGGATATGGACGGTATTTTGCGAGGTGACGATTTCTTTGGCGAAAACTTTTTACTGAATAAAGGCATCTTTTTTTTTTTTTTTTAATTCTGCAAAACAAATTATTTCAACTAAAAATACCACTTAAATATTATTAAACTCTAAAATAATGCACACAGTTACACAGCTGGCAGCTGTATAACTGTACAGTACATACCACTCATACTCTACAACAAGCTTCATAATAGCTTTAATAAATGACTATTTAATGTACTTTTCTATCATTAGTGACATTGACTACTTTTTTACAGTCACCTTAGCATAAAAATGCCAAACAGTATGATATTGCAGTAACAATAATGTGACTTTTTACCATCTGGCATCATGATTTTCTGTGTGTATAATAATAATAGCTATATAGAACAGTTAAATATTTAAGCTCCACATTTAGAATTTATATGTTTTTGATCACAGAACATTAATGGGGACAAATGATATAATATCCTCAATTTTTTTTTAGATAAAAATCAACTTCAATATCTTTAATCATCCAGAAATTGTTTTCGTAGCAAGAAAATCTTAATTTTCTGACAGATTCTCTGAGAATTGTCATTTGAACTGCATATTTTCCTCACAGAAGAAATGATATGCATTGGATGATCAATATCCTCTGTATGCAACAATTTTGATTTAGTTACGAAAGTAGTGAATCTAAAAATAAGCAATATAAATAGAAAATTTGTAAAATAAATAGAAAAAAGATAAAGTATTTTGGATAAGATTTTACCAATTTAAAATCTTAAAAATGAATCCTAAACTACTGGTTAAAATTGATTTTCTTCAAGAGATCACTAAAAATACTTAATGCCCAAATTTTATCTGTTTTACAGATTACCTCACTTATAGTCAATGCTGTTTAATTTACCATAAGAAAACTAAAAAGTATTTGCTAGAATTAATTAACCTTATCTGTATATATTTAGTAAACAACAGCATCTTTTAATTAAGTAAGAGCCAATTCGTTTGCGTGAGCCAAAACAAGCGACATAAGGAAAGTTTGGCGCAGAATAACTTGGTAAAGAATTGCTCCCGGATACTGGATCCCTTTTGGAGTGTTTGTTTCCTATAGGAATTACGCTATAACCTTAGTAGTGTGTTGGTTTTTGTCAAATATAGTATCTTATAACCTATCCCACAACTCTACAAATACATTAACTAATGGTATAATATGACATAAAATTGATTTTACAAACTTGATGATTTTTCGAAAATCTTAAGCAAGTTTACCAACTGTTAATATATTATCTAACGATTTGAATGTTTGGCATTTTAAGTATTTCTGGGAATTCTTGAAATCTCATAGTTTGCTTCTAAAAGGCAAAAACTAAAAGTTTTGAAAAAAAAAAATTATTTAAAATTACACGCTAATCACAATAACCACGTGCAGATTCCTTCCACTTTACTATCTTTGGATTATTTTCTATTAGTTAAATGTGAATTCTTCCTTGATTTCCCAATTACTAGAGAGAAATATAAGCCATTAAAAAACAATTTATCGTAATTCAAGCCACAAATGCGAATAGTTCAACAAATTTACACTAAAAATCTCATTAAGAACGACTTTTTTTCATGCTTCTACTAAATTACAAAAATATATTCGATAACGTGTACCTTTTATACTAAGAAAAACACGTTCTCCATTTTCCACGCCGTCGTGCGCACTCTACCGGGAAAAATTCTGGACAGACATTTAAAAATTTTAATTTCCGAATTTTACGAAGATTTTCGCTCGAAACAACTTAATTTATAAAAGTTAATTACTAATATAAAATCATTATATATAAAACGAATTTAAAACGAAAAAACATTTTGTCATATATACACCGATTACGTCATAAATTAAAATTTCATGTATTTTAATTAATTTACTTNTAACAACCACAAAAACATCTCAGAGTCCATACAAACAGAAGGTAAAAATTGAATTTTCAAATTAAAATTTACAATCTTGATAAGTGTTAAACTTGAATTCATTGCTGTTGATCATTATTATTTTTAGCTAAGATTTAAAAATCAATTTAGTGTGATAAAAGGTGATAATGAAAGTTTTGCTATCTGAAATTTACAAAAAAATAAAATAAAATTCCACAAACCATTAATTGTAAGGCATAGTTCACATCCATTGTACAAGATACATCACATCAAGAATAATGATACTAACAAATAAATCAGTCAAAATCAGGAATGTGTTTGTTATAAATGAATCGTACTGACGAGTAATAATGATGGTGGCAATGTATTTATTAATTGTTTTTGCTTTATATGTAATATATATATTAAAAAAAGTATGGAATCTAATCAAATGCTTTCAAAAATAAACCCTGTTCCCTAATATCCTGCATAAAAAGAACTTCTTAAGTCACAAAAGGGTCCATACCCCCTATAAAATGTTATACTTAGCCCTGATTTTAAACATACAACAACGTAAACGCGTATAAAATTAAACTATGTGATTGTTTGTAAGCACTTTGCCATCCGCTACCCTTTGGTCTGATAATTTTTCGATTTGTGTCGGGTATCAAATGAGAACTGACACAACTAGTAACAAGGATATGAATGATGACCGATGAACGATAGAAAAATAGCTCGAGGTTCTGTAAATGTGTGTGTACACAGACCTTCATTCATCTGGTGTAAAAACAAATTATTTTCAGGTCACTGTGCCAAATCTTCGATTCTGGCCCTCTTGCTTTCGGGTTCTTCGTTTTCTTGGTCTGTGTCATTGGCAGTGCTCTTCGGAGTGATTGAACTCCTATCGGTGTTATCTTGATTCTCTTCTTTATCGGAGTGACTCGTCTTTGTATTGTCGACGAGCTCGTCTGCCGACTTCTCCTCTTCATTCGAGGCATCATCTTTTTTCTCACTCGCATGACCATCTTCGTTACCATTGGGCAGTTCAGGTTCTTTTTCCACCTTTGACTTTGGCATATTATCCAGAAGGGACGCCTTCAATTCCCGGGCTAAGTAATGCGTCCAAAGAGCCAATTCCACTTTATGAGGATTCCACCTTCTCTCAGAATCTACAGTTTTATAAAATGAAAAGTTTAAAAATAAAAAAGTTAAAAGAAGAAAAATATACATATATTCCATTACCAACCTAAGCTATTAAGACGATTAGTGCAGACTTTAATTTTCTCGTAATAATTTAAATATTCCGATAACGTGTAATCAGTTCCCTCAACACCAGGGGTCGACAACATGCTCTCATCGGCCATGTAAGGTACGTGCTCTGGATATGCTGCAGCTAAAATTGCTGAAGAATAAAATATATATTTAAAAACATTGATATCAGAATGTTATTAAGTTGAAGTATTTTTTAAAATACTACCAGAAGCGGATGCGGGTCCAATGCCTTTAAGTGAAGTCAGTGCATTGATGGCACTAGATATTTTTGGTATTCTCCTGAAAGCTTTTTTACTGATCTGAAAGACTGAAGATTCCGTGTTAATTCGTACTAAATCTATAAGACGAGGTCGAAACTTTCCTCTCTGCAAAAGGAGTAATTAGAAGCATTAAAATTAATGGATTCTATACAAATTCAAAATTTGATTAGTATAATTGAAAGATTGTAAAAGCTCTATCATAAGCTTTCTAAACATACATATACATGCACGATGATAATTTTTACTATCATCATCATCACATTAAAAATTTGAGTGTTTCTCAGCACAAAGATAATAAAATATGATGCAACTGATACCACTGCCAAATTTTTCTTTAATTAATAACAACAAAATACCAATCTCAAACAGGATGAAAAACTTGCCCAACACAAATATATTGTAAATGATAGCAAGTTTCTCGTTAAGTCATCCAACTTATTTAAAATATAGTTTCGGAAGACATTTGCTAATTTTTGCTTACCTCGTACTCCTCACTTTAGCATTGGTCCTTTCAGTGTATCCCAAACTACCATTATACATTAATTAAATTTGATATCATTTATATTTATATTCAATTTTTTTTTTTATCAAGATTATATCACCAGTATTGTAACTTTAATATATTATTGTTTAGTAAACAGTAAAAACTCTTATTTTATTTTTTAATAATTCCATGTCTAACTCATTAGAGATAGAATTTTCAGATGTAATTCCAGATGCACGATCAATAATTAGGACTCAAATTATTACAACAGAGAATTTGTTACTTTATCGCATCCTATTAGATAAAAATTTTAACAACAATAATTATAAAAAAAAAACATGTTACATAAAAAGGTATTTCAGTAAATCAGTTATATAATAAACGTTACGTTTGAAAAACTTACAATCAATTTCCATTTAATGATCTGAATAAGCTCTTCGTGAGTTATGTGAGGCTCTTTTCTTGAGTGAATTATTTTGGGTAATTGTTCTTGATACCTTTAAAAGAAAATATTTTAATATCTAAAACTAGAAAATAAAAAAAAATAAATATATTTAATAGTACTTAAGTTATTGTAGATTGTAATAAAAAAAATCAATAGCGAGATGTTCCCCCCAGTAACAATCTAACAAAGTAATCAAACTTAAATCTCTTAAGAGATTTAAAAGATGATGATCATTCCTTAATTTTAATTCCTGCCAGAAATTAATTTAGGATAATTTAAAATAGAAATGAAGCAGAAGAAACAGCTTACTAAATTTATAACAAAAGATTAAATGCAGTCTGTGCTACATGGTTATTACATTCTCAAAATAGTTTCCCCTCATCTTCAATAGCCTACTTCACCTACAATCATATCGAAACTATGTTTTTCTGTTTTGCGGTTTCACTCTCAAATACTTTCAGAATTGTCTGGTAAATGGCACATCCTTTTGTCAATATTGCATTGCCTAATAGCCATTTTATTGTTTTATCCCATATCATTATACGTTATGTAGAAAAAAAACTGATATTGCTATTATAAGCTACTAAAAACAATATTTAAAGTGGCCCGATGATATTTTAAAAGCACTCAAGAATGCCAATAAAAATGTTTGCAAATCCTACATCTTCTAAAATGGATTTAACTTTCGTATCTACAAAAAAATCTTATAATAAAAATTTGAATGATGAAATATGAATCTATATTAAATTGATCAAATAATCTTACAATTTTTAGATTTAATGGTAGACTTTCTGAATGCAGAAATAGATTTTGAATTATGTTTTTGATTCATTTCATATTACTTTAGATGGATAACGTAGCAACAGTTTCATGTAAAAAATTGAATATATTTTGAAATACAAAACTGGATCCATTGTTCCCAAACAAACACAATTAAAATATTTAATCAATGCCATTTAAGCAGGTCTTTATCGCAAATAACGGAAGAATATTTGGCAGCAAAGCTTTCCAATTAACAAATGTCGCTAAATCGGTTTACCTTGTTTATAATATTTAAAATTTAATACATAATACTACATCCAGCGTCATAGTTATTACAATGCAGTTTGCAAATTGCAGACAGTATTTAGCGACCAAACGTCTGCCCGTAACGGTCTGATCCTCTGCAATCTTCTACAGAGAAAAATCTACCGGCCGTGAGCAGAATTAATTCAAATCTGACTCCAAATTAAAATAAATCCACCACAAAACAAGCACAAACCTAATTTCCAAAGCCTGTTTGCTTAGTTTTTTCACCCTTACTTTTTTAAACATTAAAATGGATCTAGAATCCCACAGCAACACCCGACCCACTTTACATTCACAAACGATATGCGTGCGGAGGACAAAGCTAATAAAAACATAATGGTCCGCAGAGACAATGGCAACATTTGCACGCGCCAATCTAGGATGGGAAGGGAGAGAAACCCCTCCTTTTTTTAAGAAGCCATAGGTAGGAGTGGGAGAAAAAGCTTCAATAATGCACCAAACTCAGACTTTCATCAGCAGGAAGAGATATTTGCTAACAGTTCGAGAAACATGACTAACACAGGATGTTTCCTGCTGAGCATAACGGCAGAAACTCACGTCAGAGAGGGAGAAAAACTTTAACAATGGCGGTACCTCCCCCTCCGAAAAGAAGGAAGGGGAAAAAAAGAAAAAGAAACGCGAATGTAAATAGTTAATTATACACAAATTCCCACAGGATAAAACTCAATTAGACTCGATCTAGTTCTCATATAATTATCCTGCTCCCTGGGTAACGTCACGCCCGAGTCACGTGACAGGGCCGACGTCTGTTTTGCAGGGAAGGGAGATAAAACGCGGCGAAACAAACATTTATCGAACATTTTCTACAGACAATTCTGCTTTAATTTCCACAGAATGCTTTATTGATTGCAGCCGTTCCGGGTTAAACTGTGTTGTTGTTCCCCTTTGCCAGGCTATTCCTGGAAACGGCCGTGCTGCCATCTAGCGAGAAACCGCTGGTTTAAAGATTTAAAAAAAATAAAAATAGTACTAATAAAAGGGGGGAATCGCTCGAACCTTTGCGTAAGGAGAAGAGTAGGACACATGTCGACCACACAAATTATACCGGACAAACGGTGAGAGCTCGGAAGTTGTTTGTAAACCTCACTCGGGGCAATCGTTATACTTCCATAGAGGTCGCCCCGCCCGGATACGTGACGTCCGTTCGACGTCACGCCTGACGCTTCGCTTCTTTCTTTTTTATTTCGAAAAAATGAATATCGATCGGGTCAACAAGTTTTTGTTCCCCATCCTCATCGAGTGAATCGTACGTCAGAAAGATTAGATCAAGCAGCAAGCAGCAGCAGCTGTAATTTCTCTTTTTACCGGCAGATGTCTTTCCCTGACAATCAATAAAGTCGACAGAATGCCAGAAGGGCGTCGTCGGGAAGTTTCACAAACCTTGTACTGTACATCCAATTCCGAGCTTTATTCTCGGAAATAAAAAGGAAAAAAAACCATTTCCATCAAGCAGACCTGTCATAGAAATAATTATTACAGTGGCGACAAAACGTAGCATTTTCTATCCTACGGAGGTATAAACCAATCCTCTACATCTCCATCTCTCCCATCCGAAGAGGAGGAGAGTGGGGAGGCAAACTCTAAAAATGCATCTTTCCAATACTTATAAACACATCAAAGCAAATTTATCCCCCTCTACTTCGAAACAATTCAATTTACTGGCACGTCTAGCAACGTTACCATAACTGCAAAAGTCAGCAAAACTTAATACTTTGCAGTTGCACAGTCAGTTGTTTTCATGCAGATTACACCAAACCGAAAAAATATTTGGGAAAAACTGGCTTTTGGAACCGGTCGGGATCCTGCTGGATGTCTCCTCTGCGGACAGGTTAATAATAATATTTAATTTACTCTGGTCATTATTTTATTTGGCATTCGGATAAGTCCAGTTAGATAAATTTGTTTTCATTTGGCTTTCTGCTGTGGAAATATTTACATTTGAGTAGCTGGGGAACCGAGGTTTTCAGAGTGGTGCCAGACAACAAGGCATTCTCCACTTTGAAGTAAAAAGAGGAGGAGGAGAAGGCAAAGAAAAAAAAAAGGCAGTTTTGAAATATATCCGACTCCGTTCATAATTGGATTGTCTAACCTGAAACTAATTAGGCCAATTTGCCATTATTAATATTATTCTTTACTTAATCCTTAAGACAGAGAAAAGGGATGAAGAAAAAAAAAAATCAATAAAAATTTGCCGTTCCGTCTAGATAAACGTTTTTAAGTCTCTCTAAATGATAACCTGAGAGTGCCGCTGAAGAAATATTATATTGAATTTTCTACAATTGTCAAAATTTAATACAATTGCTTGGTACGCATTTATAAGTTAAAAATTTAAGCTCTTTAAACTATCAGAAATTATAACAAACAATTTGATAAGAGTAATTTTTTTCAGGAATATTTTATCACCAGAATAAACATTGCAGATTTTGCTTTACACACACACACACAATATATTATATATACATGCATATCATATACATACCCAATATTGACATTATAAAGATATTTGCAATGAAATAACATCACACTGCATAACATTATAAGAAAGAGGATGTGCAATATTGACAGTAGAAGGAATGTTGTTAGAAATTACATTTATTTAGAAAACTTTCCTATTTATTTGCTACATTGTGAGGAAATTACCCGGGGAGATAAAATATAAACAATGTGTTATCATCGCGTTAGGTTCATTCTGACATAACAAATTTTAAAATGACATTACGCCAGCACCAAACTTACAAGCAGACTTGATTTATGCCCGATTACTATCATTCGTTCTTAACATGCTCGAATCCATTAAATACTACTTTTATCTACTGTTTCTATTTTTATAAAAATCTTTAATTCTGCAAGAAATCAATTTTAAGTATCACACACAGAAAAATAGTATTGGAACTGTAGTTGTATTTTATTAGTTAATTACAACATTGTAAGCACTTGAAAGCAAAAATTGCTATTGTCCTTCCTCTTACATTATCTTAAACTAATTCAGATGCAAAACAAAAACTTGTTAAATTGATATTCTTTCAAACTACTGACTCAAAAAATACCTCACGACTCTATCCACATCACTGGCGAAGCATTCATAAATCCTTAATTTACTTCAGGATTTTTTTTATTATTATTTTTATATTAATTTGCAAAACAAATTAGCAAAGAAAACAACCGTCCGCCTTATCCAAACTAAAACAAAGATACATGTAGTACTGTTTACCGGCATATTCCTCCAAAAGAAATTTAGCGTCCACAGAAATATCAATTTTAACCACACAATAAATAGAGCACGTAAACGATCATTGCAACGAAGAGATCCTTTATACTGTTGTCTCGCACGACCAAATAAGTAGAGCGTATAAATAATGACCCCCATAAAAAATAGACAATAATGCCAATATGGCTCTTGAGAAATCCTCTCGCCTTGCCCCATAAGTCCAAAACAATTTGGGAGCATCCGAATCCACACTGCCGATTCCACCGTCCTCCACCAAAACATCCAACCTTAAAGGATTCTCCGAGATTAATCCACAATGGCTTTTTACACCATTGTAAACCGAGATAGACTCTTTGGGATTAAAATTCAATTTAATCCCACTCTTAAATATTAATGCTTTCTTTTTTAATATTTATTTTTTAAATAAAGCAGTAAATCACCTTAAGCAGATAAAAAAAATATACCAATCTTTTAAGTGTTTACCATAAAAAAAAATATATNAAGAAAAAAAACCCTTTAAGTAATTTTTCTTTAAAAAATGTAAAGTTTTAGGTCAGTAAATTAATTAAAATAAATTTTTAAAATATTTTTCTAGGTCTCGAGTTGGGGAAAAAAGGGTCATTTGCGGTTCGGATTATTAAAATGCTTTAAAAAATATTCTGTGCGTTAAATCGGGGGATTTTTTCGAATTTGATTGAGTTTTGGGCGCCGGTAGAGGGATTTTGGAAGCGTTAAATGGACGAAAACGCAAAGTGGAATAGTTTTAAGCGAAACTTTTTGGAAGTGATGTAGACGTAATGAGGCCCATTTAAGGTTAGCTCGGGCGATCGTCTAACGCATATATCGAGACGTGGGACAACGTTAAACTTTTTAATCCTTTGATGAAACGTCAAAACACGCGCTTAGAACAGTCGGGCACAATATAAACAGGATGGGTTTAGAGAAAGATAGAAGCAAAGTTCGGAGATGGCAAAATAGTATATGTAACAAAAGGTGTCCTTGAGACGAACTCACCAAGTGTCGAGACGGACCAGTTCTTCGGGTCCTCCTTTTTTAGTCCTAGTCGATGCCTTGGCTTTCAGTACGTCTTTATACAGAGACAACACATAATTCCACTGTTCGGGCGTCGCTTTGGTGAAAAATACCAAACTAGAATCGGTCGGTTCTGCCATTACCGCCGTCTCCCTTCCGACAAACAATGAAGTGAAGATAAACGACGATAGATGGCGTGCCGGACGGCGACGTTGGCACTCCAACCGACCCGAACGGGACAGTTTTACATCTACGCTACGTCGTCTCCCATTGGACCGAACGATCGGTGCGATAATCATCCGTCCAACGGTGACCTGGGTAAGAGTCCAATTAAAAATTTAATTTATTCGTTTTTGGTCCGGTTTAAATTATTAATATTACTCGGGAGATACGAGAAAATGTTAACGAAGGATTATAATAAATTCGAATTTTGTTGGAAAGGCGAAAGTCGGAATTAATAAATTATTAATCGAATCAACCACCAATCGTTGTCGGGAATAACAGGAAACCGATACGCGTAACCCCGATCTATTTCTGGTTAGGGTGGAGTGTGGTAATTTAGTTTTTATAACGCCAGGGGGGATGATTATCGAATTTTGAAATTTTGAATTTTGAAAAATTCGACACGTGGTTTTCTTGCTCGTGTAATGGACATAAAATAAAAAGAACAAAAACAAAGTACACGTGGAATCGTGAAAATTTTCAAATATTTCCGTGACTCGTTTCGTTTACGTTCGCCACTTATGGATGATAGCAATATATGAACTGTTATCGGCTTTTCGGTAAGCTGTTCAAAATACATTCTTTCAGCCGTATGTATGTGTGTATGTTCTCAATGACGAACATATGATTCGCTCCAGACGATTATAGAGGGCGAATTATGTCATACGATCCCCTTGCACCAACTTAACAGATAAACTACTTAGTAGTAATTTGCTTTTGGTCCGAGTCAGATAAATTTAGTCTGTATATAATAATACGCTTGACTTAACACAGTTCATCATTCTTAAAGCTGCTATATTTTGCAATTAAACATAAATTTTAATAATATCGTATAGTGAACTTTAATGTATTATGTTTCTTCATCAAAGGGAAAGGTGGTTAACTTTAAAAGATTTTTAAAATATTCTGCAACATGCCACGGTGTAGAATAATTCACTTTATATAATAAGTGTTAAGGGTCAAATTAGCCTTATACCAAGTTTGTGCCAGTAAAGCGTGAAATGCCATTTGTTATCTTTTAAAAATGACTGGTGAGATAAATATTTTACATTGAATTCCTTGATAATACTTAAAATGTCTGAGTTAAATTGATTTAAAATGTGTCTCAGATATTAATGTTGGTTTGGATTGTGTCGTAAAAAATAGATTATAAAATTATATTTAATTATTAAAATATATATAAGATATTGCAGCTGAGTTTGTTATATTATCACTTTAAATGTGACGACTGCTATCATATTAAACTGTATTGGAGATTCTCAATAACTTTGATACCGTATCTAACATTATATGTATCTTTATCTTGTTGAATTTATATTTAAATATTATTAAAAACATTATAAGCATATTTGTTCTTTTTGAACAATGATCAAATTTTATTTTTAATAGCAAATTGTTTTAATTTGGGCATTATCATCATATGTAATGCAGCTAAAACTGCTTATCACAACTAATCTACTATTTAAATCACCTAATCTAAAGTTATAAAGATAGAATTTATGTAGCTAGATAAAATCGATTGGAATTAATTCTGTCAAGTAAAAAAATTTAAGTTTAATATTTCGATGCAAAGAGATATTCGAATCTGTACGTGCTTAGATGTAGACCAGGAAACATGCAGCTACTGTTTCATAAGAATAAGGTTTCACTGTTGACAAATCAGTATCATCAAAAAATTATCTCTTTGAAGATTTAATCTCTGTTGTACAATTCAATCTCTGGTATACGAAATATACTTGACGTATGGTTTAATGTAACAGTTCGTCTTTGTTTAATGGAATTTTCCATTTTCCAATTACTGATGTATTCTTAAAATAACATGTTACTTGTATACATCATTTGGGATTTAAATTTTATATAAAAGTTTTTAAAATATTTTATATAAAGATAAAATGTACAATAATGCATTTTATAGTTTCTTTAAGTTCTGACTATAATTTCAATTTTGCATTATTAAATCATTACAAATAAAGAGAAAAAATAAAGTACAGTAATCCAAAGTTTATATTAATTTGTTTTTTAATTTTAAATTATTCCAAACAATTCTCGTGATTTCTGTTTCATAACACAGAAGAATATGAATTTAAATGTGTTTTTTTCCTCGTAATTTACAGGAAGATGGTTATAAATTCAGATGGCAGAGTTACAGCAGTTACTGCAACTGCTAAACATTTGGTTTTTATATAAGTCTATATGTAAATTCTGCAAATGCAAAAAGTTTTATTGACTTAATAAAAACTGAATACATTGATTGATCAATTAATAATTCTTCAGAATATATTTTTAAAATTATCTTGTTTTTTATTTATTTAATTATTTATTGAAAATACATTCTCAAGAAATATGTTGTATTCAGTTATTTGAAATTAAGTTTGAAGTGTTTGTATTCAGAACTTTTTGGCATTTTATATTGTTTTATTCCAAACAATATTGGCAAACTAATAGGAATGATATTACACTCATCAATAAATTTCTCATGTTACTTGAAATTTTCATTTATACTACAAAATAAATAATACATTCAATAGGAAGTGTTTCCAAACATTTAACAGTTATCTGTAACTTAAATCCATTTTTTTTTTTTAATTTAAATATTTTCTATGTTATTTAAGTTCTTATTTAACTTAAATAATTAAATTAGGAAACAAAATTTAATTATATTTTTATGTCAATTAATACTTTTATATGAAAACTAAATGTTTGAAAATATTATATAATCTAAATTTACATAGAGATAATGTTATGTAACATATATTATAAATGATTTTGTGGCCAGAAGACGAATGAATGGATCAAATATTGTTTTGAACTGTCTCTGTTTATTAATGGCTTCTAAACATTCTTGGAATCTGTTAGCTTAATAATATTTGAGATTGTTTTGCACATTTTGCAAATATTATTGGAAAAATTTAGATTACTTTTTATCTTTTTTTAACAGTTGTGTTTATGACATTGATTCTTTAAGTTCTAAGTTTGTGATTACAAAAACAAGACTGACATAGCTTATTAATTATACATTATTTCTATATTAACATTTAAAATACAATTTTTGCAAATTTAAATAAAATTTATGCACATGTCATTGCCTTAAACATGAAACAAATTTTTAAATTATCTAATAATTCAGCTGCATTTATAAATTGAACAGCTAGTAGCTGCCAAATGCAACTGCTGCATGTCATTTGGCAATGAAAGATTTACTGCTGAATGACATGCTGCAGTTTTTCCACTAAAATAATTTAGACTTTAAAAAATATGCAGTAACACTTGGAAATGTTATACTGTACTGTTAAAAGGTTATATCATCTGTTTTGTATCATCAGATTAAATTTAATTGAAAATTCAAAATTTATTCATTTGTGTAAAGTTTAATTTAAGTATTCTTATAAATAATTAATTAAAATTTTACTTAATTATTTTATTTTCTTCAGAAAACATTATGGAACAACAGAATTCAAGAGAAGAATCCTGGAGTAGAGAAGAAGGTTTGTATTTGTTATTAATGAAGATTATTTGATTTATTAAATTAAATTTTAAAAATAAAATTTCATTGTAGCTTGTATAGAATTGACAAATCACTTAATTATCTTGTGCAACTTAACATTTCCACGAATTAGCAGCCTTTCCGATATCAAAAGTCAACTGCTCGTGCTTCTGTTCGAAAAGATCACAGGAGTGGTTCTCCATGGTAGCATTTTATTAAATATTTGAAAGATCATTTACATATAAATATTTGTTTTATAATGTTTATGTTTAATATAGATTTAATAAAGGAACCAAAAACTATTGAAGATGAAGCCCACAACATCCAAATGATCATTGACACTCTCTCCTTAGACATTTTAAACATATCTCTTTCACACATCATTGGCGAAGATATTGTGAAGCAAAACGTAATTTCCATTTATAATTTATTAGAGGTTATGGAAAATTATCTTTTGTATTCTGTACAGAACACTCTAAGATCTGGTAAGAGATAATCATAAGTTATTATTTAATAAATTTTTAATATAAAATGATTTAAATTAATTTGTTTAGAAGAAAATGTTGAAGCAGAGAGAGATGAGCAGATGTTACGTGATGATCAGCCAGTTCCTTTGAATACATCAATATGGTAATAATTTTTGATATTTTCTTCTAGCCAATATTTTCTAATTGAGGATTCTTGTAATTCATGATTGAACTTTTACATACAAAGATATATGAATGTATTATTTTTATTTAAAATATATAAAATTCAAATTATTTTAATCTATGTTTGAATATAAATGTAAGTTAGGCATAGGTTAATAATGAAACAATATATGTTGCAGCAACATATATTGACATATGTACATGCTGCTGTAACAGGCGTTGTTTCATTATTATTGAATAATTTAATTTCTTTATTTCTGATTCTTTACTGTCTATGAATTATTCAATAAGATAAAAAATTTTCAAAATTCTTTCTTATAGAAAACTAAGCTTAAATTATACAGGTATACCTTAAGTTACGTTGTTTCGAGTTATGTTGTTCTCGATTATATGTCGTTTGTCAAAAAACTATATGGAAAAATAAAAATCAAGTTTAAGTCATTTTATTCGACTTTATGTCTGACCGCCACAAATATTGAAATCATAATATCACTAGAAAAGTGTTAAAAGCACATAAAATCATATTAAAATACATACATTTATAGTAAATGTTAACATAATCATCATAAATTGTAGAGAACGAAATATGAAAACATCTGTGACTGTGTGTTGTTGTCTTATTTAGCAGTCTTTAAGAGCTCAATATTGGTAAATTTAACATAAATTAGTTTATTTTTTATTATTGCAAAATAATTTTAATAACTGTATTTGTTATTTAACCTTACAAAATTATCTTATTTTATAATGTCTTAGAGCAAACCATATTCACAAATAGAGTCCATGATGTACTGTAAACATCACCAAATTGTAAACATGTATATTTACAAGTATGTACGTACCAGTACATGTATTTGTAAATTTATATTACTTTTTTTTTCTGTACTATATTAAAAACTAAAATTTATTTGTTTGTAAGTTAAAATAGATTCTTATTAACCATATATTATTAAAAATGCATTTATAAATAAAACACAGAACTGGGAATAGTTATTTGTGGTTTAGCCTAGTGACAAGTAAATTCGACTTACGTCGCCTCTCCTGGAACCAGTTACCGACATAAGGCGATGTATAACTGTATTAAGAATTAAATGATAAAGCCAAGTTCATTATTGAGTTTTAACTTGAATATCTAATTTTTTTTTTTTTTTTTTATTTTCTTTTTGAAACCGTGTCCTGTATTATATTTGTGGCGTAATAAACACTAGTATTGTGTTTTATTCTAAAGACACATGGCAAATTTTAAAGGAATTTGATGGAAAATTTGCCATGTGTCTTTAGAATAAAACACAATACTAGTGTTTATTACGCCACAAATATAAAACAGGACACGGTTTCAAAAAGAAAATCAACAAATCTACAGAAACTAGAAATGGCAAGACTCATCAAACAAAAATGCATCAACTAATAAAGGAATTTGATGGAAAATTTGCCATGTGTCTTTAGAATAAAACACAATACTAGTGTTTATTACGCCACAAAAATTGAATATCTAACTTGAACTTAAGGTGTGATTAAGTCATCATCTTGTATTAAATTTAATAATTCAAATTAAATTAAATAACTTAAAAAATTCTGGAAGGAAAAATATGTTTAATTAGCCAAGTTTTTGATATATTCAAATAGCCAAGTTATAGTTCGATAATGATTTATAGCTTGGCTCTATCATGTTATTATGACGTTGTTATACTGTCAGCCTGCAGTTTTTAATTTCATAAAGTCATGTGACTTCCAGTCCAGACCGGAAGTTTGTATACAGTTAATTGGAGGCTCCGGTCCCTAAGCTTTCCGTATCTGGTATCAGTTCTGGTATCTGTTTAACTCAGTTCTCATCATTAACCAAGGGCAGATGGATGGATAGACAATGGTGGGAATGAATAGGTCTTTAATCTAAAAATTTCATCATTGAGATGAAATTTTTAGATTAAAGACCTATTCATTCCCACCATTATTTTAAATATTTAATAAAGTTGACTTTTCTAGTTCACTATAAAGATGAAATTCTTGCTTTAATGAATTGAAAGAGTTTTAAAAAAATAGGGTAAAAAATAAAACTTACAATTAATTAGATGAAATTTACAAATGTACAGTAAGATATGACTTTAAGAATGAATACAACAGCTCAGTGTCGACTTGATACAGAAATTGGCAAATCAATACAACTATACATCAAAAACATATTACACTATAAATAATAGATGAGGATATTATAGGAAACGTTTTTATCGATTATGTTTATGGAATACTTGGAGTGTGTCATCTAAATATCACAATGCATACTGATATATGAAGTCAACTGTTAGGAATCTTTAATGACATGTTGGCCTACTGTTGGATCTGTTTTAGTTTGTCACTGTTTATGAGTGACAAACTAAAAATTTTTAAGTAAAAGTTAAATAAGTAGACAGATATTTCTTATAATTTGAATATTTAATATTAAAAGTTTAAGAAAAATAACCTTATTTGCAGTATTTTTCTATTACTTGTTTGTAGCACTAACATAATTTTAAATTATAGTTCATTTTATATCTAATAAATAAATGCATTAATAAGGAAAATAAATATTACATTGAATTATGTATATTTATTTAAATTTATTTATTTATTACACCAATTATTAGTAATACTGTTAAGGTAAGAAATTACTACTACTGTGCAACAAATGTGGCCTTGTTAAAATATAAAAGTAAATAAACAGGTAAACATAGACAATATGTAATTTAGGTATTGTAAGGATAAAATTGATGTAAAGTAAAAAGTATAGGGTGTTTCAAAAAGAATGCTATTAATTACTGTAATTATGTTAATTATTATATGAATAGTTTGTGTTGTATTCAATTGATAGAGTAACTGTTTGAGTTACCATCTGCATTCAAATGTCTTTTTGTCTACTGCTATAGGAATTACCATAAACAAAAATGGCAACTCTGCAACAGAAAAGAGGCTTTGTGTTCTTCAGTCTGCAAACTCAGAATCAGTCATTAGCAAGGTTGTGGCCAAAGTTTACATCTCTAAAATGTGAACATTGAATGTTGAGTGCTGCTATCTTCTAAGCGGTGCTCGATGTTCGACATTTACGTTTTAGAGATGAAATCTTCTTCCACAACCTTGTTAATATCAGGCAACAAGAATGTTTATCTTACAATATGAATCACTTTGAAATTGTCCATGAAATTCATGCCTCACAATGATGACTGATTCCAAGTTTGCAGACTTCAAAATACAAAATGTCTTCTCTGTTGCAGAGTTGCTAGTTTTGTTTATGGCTCTTCCTAGTGGTAAAAGACAAAAAGACATTTGAATGCAGATGGCATGTGAAACGTGAACAATTACTATATTGATTGGTGTAAATGCATACTTCTTGGGTAGTAATTTACATAATTCTTGATGGGTTGACTAATTATACAGACTTATCTTTTGCTCTTCTTACAATTTCTTTCTCTCCTTCAGGGATGTAGGCATCCTTGATATAAATATTTCTTGTAAATATTCTTGCTTTTTTGTATTGCACAGTCTTATTACACCATGAGGTGCGATAAGTCTGTACAGTTAGCAATTAGCCAGCCCGGGCTAATGCAAATGAGAATAAACTATAATTTACATTTTAACCTAAAACATAAAAATAATATTTCAAATATATTTAGTAATTATAAGAGTAGAAGATTTGAGAAACTTAGATAAGTAAGAAAATGTTAATAATTGGAAAAAGAATTCAGATATTTTAAATTATTTAATACATTGAATGAAACTGTGCTTTAAATATAAAAATTATAAATACAGGGTGGCTATAATTAGTTTTCATATTCAGAGTACTATATATCTGTAACCAATAAGTGGATTAACATGAAAATTTGTATAAAGACTATGCAAAGGATATGATAAAGGATTTTGCAAAATAGAAAAGAGCACAATAAAGACACATTTATTCATTCTCAAGGAGCATACCTTTAGTAGAGGCTGTTTACGGATGTAAGTAATGTTACTCAATGTGAGCCTCATTTTTCAGGTTTAAAATTTAAAGGCAGTGTTTAAATGTAATGAACAGCTGACTTGACTTCCCATTGTTTAAAATTAAATTCAATGTTTAAAATAACAGATTAAAATGTTACTTTGAGATTGGTCTTTGTTGTTTACTGTATTTTGTTTCATGTATTTTCCTGTAAAGTGTTCCATAGTCCAAGTTTTTGAACTAAAAATGTTTTTTGCAAAATCCTTTACTCCGCATCCTTTGCTTAGTATGTATACAAATTTTGATGTTAATCTCCTTATTGGTTACAGCTACAGAGTGCTTTGAATAGGGAAACTTCAATTATCCTGCCCTGTATTTTAGAATACTAATATTGTGAAATTACAGCAATTGTTGTTTGTTTGCAAATAAAAAATCTTTTATCTATGAATTGTATATGCAAGACATAAGTTAATAACTTGTAAACAAAACAGTTTAGCTCAGATAAAACTCTGATACATTTAAATCTTTCTATCAGCTGGAATTGAATGTTTAGAGCCAATTTTTAAATAAAATATACATCTGGAAGTAGAAAATATTAAAAGATTTACTTACAAAATTTGAGTTGTTTTCTCATGGCATTGAATTTTCATAATAGTAATACAGTAGAGCATCGATTATCCGACTCAATTGGGGACTCAGGTTGGTCGGATAACTGAAAAATCGGATACCCAAAAAGAATGAAAAAAATACATTATTAGTATAGTATATTAGTATATCCCATGTAATTAGTATATTAGTATATCGCTATTAACCAACTTTGCATTGAATTTTCATCGATGTTAACCCTAACAAATTCTTTAAAAAAATAATAATCGTCACTATTGTATCATTAAAAATTATTTTATTGCTCACAAAACAAACAACCACTCATACTTAGAAAATTAAGTCTCGTTTAAATACTGGCCTCCCTTCAATGGTCGAGCCAGTGTTGCCAGCTAAAACACGCAAAAATTTAACAAAAATAATATTAAAGTAGCCAAGACATAGCCAAATATTGTAATGCCACATCACTAGCTGACATTTGAAATTTGCCCACTAGAACGGTCAGTTAACTGATGTGACGGTTAATCGGGGGGGTCGGATAATTGATGCTCTACTGTACTAATATCTAATACTATAATATTTTAAATATTATAGTATTAGATATTAGTACTGTATTACTATTATGAAAATATACACCTCAAAAATTATAGTTTTTATGTATAGTGGTGTTCTGTACATTCAGTTTTTGCCAATTGCCAAATAATTACCTTTTGCCAAAGTGTTTGTCATGTGTTTCAAAAAGAATGCTTACAATGTTTACAATGGGTGTTGTACATATGTTTGTGTGCCAATCATTTAGGGCACTTCTGTAATTCTTTACTACTGTTCCACAAGCAAATGATTATTTGCCAAGCATCAGCTCATTGTGGGAATTGCGAATGTTTATCTGAGGTTCATTCCCTTTGATTTAGCACAATATACTGATGAGGAATGGGAAATGGCAAATGCTGAATATTTTTCAAGAGAAGTTATGAGTGTGTGGAGGTGTGTGTGTTAAGAAGGACAATGAAACAATATCTTTCAGCACAGGTTGCTCTGGACTTCGAATTATTTATTGCCACCAGTTTTACTTACTAATTAATGTAGGTGCTAGTAGCCTTATCAGTTTGGAGTCAAAATTAACATGTTTTGAAAGCAAAATTAACATGTTTAGCTTTCACTTATAAATAGGAATCATTTTTGAATAATTTTTTAATGAATAATTCCAAATAACACATTTGATGACAATGCTTATACAGTATTTCACATGTTTTGTTGTGTGAAAATTGTTATGCTTTACTCTACTGAAAAGAGATCAAAATGAAAAATATGTCACCCCCAAAAATTTCCTCAATCTGCATTTCATGCTCAGCATTTCATGAAAACTGCCTTCGGTTTTTAATGTTACATCCTGTTTTCCTGTCTGAACTTGTTGCTTGACATGATGTCATGCAACAAGTTCAGACTGTGTAATGAACAGGATATAGCATAGGAGTACAACATTCTGCTGCTTTTTTTAAAGTGTGCTTTGTGATTCAATTTTTCATTGCATATTGAAATAAGTGGACTAGTTTTTATTGCCAGTATCATATTTTTATTGCCACTTTAGTAAAAATATTGCCAAATGGCAATTTTGGCCCCATGTAGTGCAACTCCTGCTTCAGTATATCATAAAGTTGTTACATATACATATTAACTTTCTCTTTATATTAGGACAGATGATAATTTGAGGTTGTTTTTCATAATTTTCTCTTGAACCACTAGTAAGCATGATTTTTTTAATGCAATTCCCTGTGTTAATGTTCTTGTCAGTCTCCCATTGCAAGTCGCAATGTTTTGTCTATTTACTTTGTGAGTGTCCCTCACTTATGACACTTCTGTAACATGGGCATATATTCTGTTTGTACATATTGTTTATTGTCTTGTCATAAGGAACTTTGTCAGTTCTCCCATTGCAAGTACAATGGGTGTTGTAAATATGTTATGTTTGCGTGCCAATCATTTAGAGCACTTCTGTATTTCTTTACTACTGTTCCACAACTGAATGTAAATTTTTTATTTTGTTTTAAATAAAAGCGATACAGGCACCCTTTAGACTTCCATTTCATCCCCTTTCCTATCCTTCTTTATAATTTCACCTTCAGCCTTTTCCTCTAAATCATCTTTATTCTCCATTTTCACCCCAGGCAATACCTTTTAGTAGCCCTGGTTTCATCCTCTATCTGCTAAAAGTAAAAGTTATTTTGTGTAAAGCTATGAATGACAAGACTTATATAGACTTCTGAATAATCATGTACTGTATTACTTAGTTTAACAGAACTTCAGAAATACTGTGGTTAATGAAACAATAATATTCCATGTCATATTCATATTACAATTTGCTAATTGGAAGTTGATTGTCCAAAAGATGGCTAATTCACAACTAAAAATTTGAGTTCTGCATTGGTCAATCTATCAGGATCTTCTTTAGAATTTTTGGTATAAATTGGATCAAGTGTTTGTTCAAAAAATTATTATTTTTTGAAAACTAAACCAGTCATTACTTTTGTAAGGTAGCCGATTCGGTGGAGATAGGGGAATTGAAAACCCACTCTTCGGCACCTGTGTAAGGTTGCTGTCTTTTAGGTGGGATCAGTTAATCCTGCGTCAAGATGAACTTAAGGGAAGGTTGTATGTGGGCTGTGGTGGAGGAGGCAAATGATGACAAGTGTTTTACACACAAAAGCCATTTATTTGTTAATATTTATGCATACATTGACAATTGACAGTCCATCTCTAGTCCTTTAGAGAGGCAAGAACTTTGGTATCGGTCATAGCCCCGAGGCGGATGAGATGAGATCGCTGGGTGAAGCGGATGATCGGTGAGATGGTGTGGTGGAGTTCTAAGTTGTTGGCAACGACACAACACAATACAGATCACGACTTTTTGTGGAATACAGAGGAGACTTTCTTTTCAACCTTGAATTTCTGATTTTTATAGTTTTTCTCCCACTATTCATATTTCTGATTGGTCCCTCGTCCCCTTCCTCACTTCCTGATTGGTCTCTCTTTTGTTTCAGGGGAAAACCGAGACCAACTTGGGTCGAGGGAAAGGTCCGATTCCAGGTGTCTATTCGATGCCATTTTGTCGATTGTGCTTGGGGATTGTTGACAAAACCGAAAGACTCACGCTCATAATTTAGCCCTGTTACTTAAGATTTTTGTCATCTGGATACTTTAACAATCATATGTGATGATTTATCTCTTAAATTGTTCCCTCTTTTCTGAAATTGTTTCCTTAGATTGATTATTTATGAAGTCAAAGTTCTACCTGTTTATGAGCACTTGTGTTTGAGTTATAATTTTTCATTCTGACAGTTCATTTAACACATGTTGGAGTCTTCCAGGACTCGTTGTTTACATTTTGTGCTGCGTTGTTTAAATTGATGGATTTTTCCTCTCTCTCTTTCATATTTAGTCTATCATTATAATTTAAACATAAGAATTTCGCAATTTACGTGATTTCAGAGCTTGGTTGGGACCTCACAGAATAAGGTCAGAATATTTTGGAGATTACAGAAAATAAATGATAGAATTTATTCAGTATAAGCAGAAAGCAATCATATGAATGTTAGAATTTTTCATATTTGTCTAGTTTTTCAATTAAATTAGAAATTTACAAAATATTTAACATTATATAATTCATTAAGAGTCTGATGCACTTCTCCCAGTGATGCTCCATATTAATTGATAGTGCATTTTTTTCTGTGCCACCAGGTGGCACAGAAAGGGTAAAGAATTGTGTCAACAGTGTGCTTCAAAGTGCCACAAACTTTATTTAGCTTTGACACCTTCTTTACAAGTAGGCTCACTACTTTTCAAACAACTCTTGTAACACACACTTACTGCAAGGAACATTTCTGCAGTAGAATTGGTTGCAAAAACTTCTTTAAAAATTAAATAAATTAATAATAATTAAATGATTTTGCAAGGGGATTATATTGTAAAGAAATCTTATGTACAATGTTCACTCATCCCTAATTGCATTGAGATCTTTGTTTATTTTTTGAAAATTTATACACATTTCTGTTAAAAAAAAAAACTTGAATTTGAAGTATAACAGAATTTGAAGTATGGTCATCTCTTGGTATCAACAACGGATTAGTTCCAGATATCAAAATCTGCAGATTCTCAAATCACTTACATTATAAATAGCTTAGTAGTTGCATAAAACCTATGCACATCCTCTTGTACACTTTAAAATATCCATAGAATATTTGTTATAACTAATACATATAATTGCTATGTAAATAGTTGTTGTACCATATTGCTTAGGGAATGATGACAAGAAAAAAGTCAGTATATGTTTAGTACAGACCAATTGTTGTAGGCCTAACTGTAGTAAGTATCAGCAATGACAAAACATTTTTTTTCCAGCACTTAAAGATTGCTTTGGTTTAATAAACTGAAAAAGAAATATATGGAATAAAGCTTAGAATATTTAAAATACGAGCAAAAATTTAAATTTGGAATTTTTTGCATCTATTATTGATGTGTGATTGGTTGAATCTGCAGATATGGAGGGCTGACTGTATTTGGAAAATGGTAACAATAATATAATGAATGTGTATAAATATACTTTTATTTTATCATTTAAACTTTTTGTAGGACACAAACTGATCCTGTTTCTGAAGAAATAACATCTCAGTCCGAATTAGAAGAGTGCATTTCTAATAAAGTAGATCGGCATTCCGAGAATAAATGTCCTCTCTGCACTTATACATCCAAGGATATTGAAATTTTGCAGGATGAAAACAGAGAAAATATAGTAGACAGTACAAATATTTTGAATGATATTAGTAATCAGTCATTTTATAAAACACTACCAGGAAGACTTGATTCTATTCCACCAATAAATTACCCTTACATTAAATCCTCGTCTAACAGTTCCACTTCTGTCTTGCCAGAACGGGTAAATCAAATTTATGATTTATTTATATTTGTTGACATTTAGTTCATTTAATTACTTAATTAAAATGAGATATTTGACAGGACACATCAGAGAGCTCTTCTGTACCACCCTTAATTCCAGAGAATTTTTCTGGAATTCGTTACCTGAATCCAGAATTTGCAAAAGTAGGAGTACAGTCTGATGATGGAAAGTTATCAGCTGGTAAGTAGATAAAATTATTTAAAACATTTTTAATTACATAATTTATACAATTCATCTTTATTTACCATCAAAGATTCTGTAGATAAAACCTCAAAAACAGAAATGTTTCCTAGTGAAAGTAGTTCAGATTTGGTTGATATCAGTCAGGTAAGCATTTAAATAAATTATTTATCATCAACATGAAATAATTAATTGTTATTAAAAAAGAATTACAATGATATTTTTATATAAGGAAATAAGAAAGTGATATTATATATATAATATAATATATATGATATTATATATATATAATATCACCATTAAGTATAAATGCTTATGTACTAAAATTAATAATGATTATTATTGTTGTCGCAACTTAAATCAGAAGATGATGCTCTAAAGGAATAGCTAATTATAAATAAAAATGTAAACTCTAGATCTCAAATTGTTTAATTTTTTCCTTTGAAGATTTTATATCTAGGAGATGTTACATGTAAAATTATCTTCAGTGTTTCCAGATATTTTCCTTTAATTTAAATGTAACTTATTTGAGAACTATTCAGTAATCATTAGAGCTGAAAGTTTTTGTCAGTTTTTGGGCCTAAAATCACCAATTTTTTGCCTTAAATTTGCAAAAAAATTGCTAGTTATTTATTTCAAAAATGAGTTAAAACAAATTACACTTAGATATTTCAAATAATCCTTGCTTAAACTATGATGTCGATTGATCATATCGATGAATATAATGAAGAACAAACATTCAATGTTGACTGCAACTAAAGGAGTGTATTTGCTATTAACTTTATCACTTAAATTCATATCAAAAGATGTAAATTTGATGAGATCAGGATTGCTTGACAAAACTTTTTCCAGTTTTTGAGAAAATATAGGATAATCAGAAACAATTTCTTTTGCATTTTCAATTAGTTCGACTTGTTTAGTTACATTGAGTCCTTGTTCTTCCAGTAATATTATATTTGATAGCTTGACAAGATTACAGAGGTCAAATAATTCTTTCTTGAGGTTAACTTTCTTCTCTTTCAATAGTTTCACCAAAACATTTCTAGCATTTGAATGAGATTTTTGTTTATAGTTTGAAATGAAGCGCTCAACAGTATCAAAGTTAATATAAAGAAATTGCATTTTGCCCTTGGTTTAATTAAATTAATTAAAAACCTACTAATGTGAGGTAGGAATAAGGACTTATCACACCAGTGATAATAAGCACAAACACCCAGGTATCAATGGAATACATTTAATAAAACGAGAAGGATGTACATTAAAAACGATTAAATTAACAATTGACATGAAATAACCAAAATGCATTTCGGACTATCGGAATAGTCCGTCTTCAGTTGGTATACATATATAAAAAAAGGTGAGATACTTAAAATTATACAAGACAAAGGAACCGTTATAAAGGTATGATCATTGAGCAATAAATGGGTGTAGAGGAGACCGGCTTAAGGTGGTTTCATTATGTTACATGGTAGCTTGACATAAGGGTTACTATTATAAACAGTATTAAAATTAGCGGGATAATAAGGTAATTGTTTTACAAAATAAGTTATATGGTATGTAGATATAACTTATTTTTTGATATCACCAGATTTTGATAGATATTGCTAATTTATTGTCTGTTTTGTTCAATGTTTCTTCTGTTAACAGAGTCCCTGATACTGTGATCCTTTACACATCATATCTATAACACATAAATGCATGACATGATGCAAATAATAGACTATATTGCAGCCAAGAATAATATTTTTTAAGAAGAAACTTTTACAGTTGACCCCCTATAACACCGTTGATAATTTCGTTTTATATGAATTCCATGTTGTACGAGTCACTTAGATTTTACAAATATGTGTGCCAGGCTATGAACAGCTCATGTATTTGTAAAATCTAAGTGACGAGTACAACATGGAATTCATATAAAATGGAATTAACAACAGTGTTATAGGGGGTCGACGTACTTTTAGCAGATAGAGGATGAAACCAGGGCTACTCAAAGGTATTGCCTGGGGTGAAAATGGAGAAGAAAGATGATTTAGAGGAAAAGGCTGAAGGTGAAATTATAAAGAAGGATAGGAAAGGGGATGAAATGGAAGTCTAAAGGGTGCCTGTATCACTTTTATTTAAAACAAAATAAAAAATTTACATTCAGTTGTGGAATAGTAGTAAAGAATTACAGAAGTGCTCTAAATGATTGGCACGCAAACATAACATATTTACAACACCCATTGTACTTGCAATGGGAGAACTGACAAAGTTCCTTATGACAAGACAATAAACAATATGTACAAACAGAATATATGCCCATGTTACAGAAGTGTCATAAGTGAGGGACACTCACAAAGTAAATAGACAAAACATTGCGACTAGGCTATGTGACCAGATCGAGTATCCCATTATAGTGATCTATGAAAGCCACTGACTTGCTCCTTAATAAATAATATTTGATCATGTTTTATGATTTTAATTATAAAATAGATACTTTTTTATTTGCAATTTACAAACATAGTTGCTACCATAAAAATATTTTAAATTTAAGTATCATTTCTGCATAAGTAAACTGTTCAAAACAGTTAAGGAATATTACTAATGCAGGTAATTGAGGTGTTTGCTATAAATTGTTATATATGGCTTAATGAAGAGCTTAATATTTTTTTTAAGCAATAATGTGTCCAGAAAAATATTGTCCTTAGTTCCCGAAAAAATATAAACTGTTTTAACCTGAAAGGCTACTTTATGCAATACAACTATTGTCAATGTTTTGTTTCTTGAAACTTCAATATGCACAGATTTGCCTCATTTAAACGAACTTATGACTTGTTTGAGACCTTTATCCAACAAGTTGCAACCATGTCACAAAAAATCTAATCTGACTGATTTTTTGCTGTTTGTCTTATTATTGAACCAGTCAGTGTCATTGTATGTTAGATTGCATTCTGCCGCTCTTGAGAGAAATTAATGCTCTTATACATGTTCAGAACAACTCGCACATTGTATTCCAGCACATCATATAAATGTCTGAATTATTAAAACATCTTACCAGTGTGTTTCGGGTGCAACAAAATATTGTCAATAGTTGTATCATGTAAATTCCAGTACTAAAATTTAATTTATTAGCTCCAATGACTCGTAAGCTTTTTCCAAGGATTGTAGAATATGTAGCAGCACATAAAATTAATTTGCATTAATAATTGGAATATATTTAGATGATTTCAGTAGAAATTGCATAAAAGGCTTTTTTTAATTGAAATTATTGAAATAATTTGCATAATCAAAAATTTATTTTTAAAATCAAGAATCATATTTGTTTTCTATAATCAAGAATTTATTACATTATATAGATTAACTCAAAAATGCATCGTAAAATTGCACCAATGAAGAAAAGACATCAAGAACCAAGTGATAGGTGAGCTTTAGCTAAATGATTTGATTCATAAAAGTTTGTGTATTTTCAATATATTTACCCATACCAAAGTGAATGTTTTTGAGAAAAAACTGTGAAAATATAGAAAACTTTTGAAATAATACATCTCTACTTTTACCACTCAATCACACACAACTTTGTACAAAATCTCCAAATCTATAAATCAATGTGTAAGAGAACTCAACTTAAAATGACTTAAACACAATGTTGAATGCTTGGAAAACCAGGTTTGAGGTCTGTACTACATAATGCAACATGCATTTTGTTATTATTTTGTCTGTTTTTGCACATATAAGGTGATTTTTTTTTCATTTAAACGTATTGGTGTTCAATTATTTCTGTTCTGTTTCTGTTAGTACTTGAAAAGGTTTGATTTTTGGAACATCAACCTGATGACAGTCATTAAATCTGATTGATAATGTTAGTTTTTCCCAGTTTAATAAACCTTTCCTTTTGCTGCTGTATAAGATTGTGCTGATTGAGTGATATACTGCTGTACAGTATATAACTCAATCAGCTCAATATGATATACTGTAGCAGTTACTTTATAAATTATCTTTACTTTTACATTTGTTGGTTATTGAAAAATAAAAACAATTTTAATTACTATTTTATAAACTTTTCTATAAATTAATCTTATGTGTGCATGTAGAAAATGACAATGTTATGTAATATGCTGTACATTATATATAGTATAACATATAAACAAACAATATTATCTTCAATTGACATTTCACAATATTGGTTCTCTTCAAAATTTAAACCAAATAAATAATATGAAAGTGAAAATAAATTTTAAAATTCCAATTATATAATGTTATAACATAACAAATTTAAACATACAAGCATTTGAGAAAAAAAAAATACAAATTAATTGTAATATTTCCATAAATACTTCTTGTGCAAAATATATTTCAATTTAATAGTTAATTTTATGAAATATGTAAAGCTGTAATGATAACTTGAACATTAAAAGTTGGTTATTATAAAGTGGATTATAGTGTCTTATAAAAATTTGCTACTTGCTAAAAAATGGCAGCTAAATAGAAAACAGCACATATAATTCAATTTAAATATTTTTTTCTTTAGATGAAACGATGTCAATTTTCTTATTTAATTATTTCTCACAATGAAATGTAATATAAATAACACAATGCTTTCTTTACATCTGTTTAATTCTCTTTTTTCATTTGCCAAAACATGTTTTGGGTGTTTTCTCCTCTTCTGTCAGCTTTTTCCATTTAGGTGTTATACATTTAATTTTTCAAAAATGTATAATAGTGTGGTTTTTATCTTTAAAACACTAAAATACTTATAAAAGCTTGGGATCTTAAAAGTTTAAGAACCCAACATCATGTTTTATCCTTTGCCACATTGCAGAAGCATTTACACACATGAGGCCATGTTAGTTCAGCAAAAGTTACCACTTTAAGTATCTAGACAAAGGAAGAAGTGAAATCTGTCATTTATTTGGACAAAAGGCATCAAATCCATGGAACTCCATCATAAACGGAAATTAATCTACAGTCCTAGTGTTACAAGATTGCAACAGGTGTGGAAGTGTATTGTAAATACAGTACAAAAATAACTAGATCCAGTTTGCTGGACAAATAAACAAATGGGCTAAGTAATGCTCTTACTTTGAATATATACATCTGTATAAAACTGTTTCCTAAATTAAAGAAGTATACTTTTAGTGTAATTAAGAAGTCTCGAGTGCTATATCTGCAGGACACATTTTTTCCTCTGTCTAAATTTTAATTTTTTGATCTATCTCTAAGCTTATGTCAATTCCCTCAACAGACAAAGTGGCTGTATCAAAGAATAAACCTGATACATGGGTTGTTTCTGTTGCTTATTCCTTGCTGTAACTTGTTTTCTTCTCAATACATTCTGATAATTTACCCAAAAAGTTTATGACATTTATAAAATAATGATGAATTAAAACATAAATCAAAATGATTGTTTAAAATAAATGTAGTATGCAGATTTATTAATGTAATGTTAATTTTTAATAGAAATACTTTAAATTTTTTTATAATAAAGTATTTTAATTGAATTAATTTTTGAAATTTTTTTGCAGGTTAGAAAACTTTTCAAAAAAAAAGAATGTTCGGTTTTTTGCTAGTGATGCTGCTAAGGTATTGTATATATCTATTCATAGCTTAAGATTCTAATATCTATCAGTTAAAAATATAAATACTGGTTGTAAAATGTGACATTCTATTTCCTAAAAAATAAAATTTTAATGTAAATGAAGCATTTGCAATATTTCTCTAATTTATTACAGTAGAGCCTCGAAAACTCGGCACTCGATAACTCGGCCACACTCTGGCAGAGCAAAAAAATCCTTAGTTAAATAATTTTCATGATAAAGACAGCTTTATGCCTCATAAAGTATTTTTCTGAGGTCTGTCTTATCAGGTAAATTACTGTACAGTGTATTCATTAATTTTCATTTTCAAGTAGTAAAGGCTTTATGCCTTCATAAAAGATGTACTTTTCCTTTGTTTAAGGGTATTTGGGCAGTTTATTCTCTGTTGTATTCTCAAGTAAACAATACATACAAGTACAGTACAGTATTTTCTGAGGAAACACTTGTACTTATTTTTTTTAACCCCATTCCTGATAACCCGGCATTTTCACAAACTCGGCCACCCTTCGGTCCACATTAGGCCGAGTTTTCGAGGCTCTACTGTATTATTATTTTATTTTTATTTTTATTTTTTTGCAAACTACATGAAGAGTAGTGACTTCTTGGGATTTGTACTGTTTACATATTAGTATAACTAGTATTTATATAATATATTATAGAAATACGTAACTTGTTTTAGGAAACAGATTACACTGATGGAGCAAAACATTGTGACTGTGTGATAAAATGCTCTTAAAGAACTCTGGACTGTCAAAGGCATGGACTTGACAAGTTCTCTAAAGATATAATTCTGTGGTATCTGGGACTGTGCAGTTATAAATAAGTCTTTCAATTCTTTCAAATTTCTTGATGTGAGAATGGCAGAGTGGACTTTATATTGAACAATGTCCTGACTCAATCCACACATTTACTGGTAGGATTGAGATTTGACAAATTTCGTAGCCAGGTTTGAGGAACAAATGTGACAAGATTGTCTTGTTGATAAAGAGAATCACCTGCAGTGTGAAAGACTGCACCTAATCTGAACAATATTTAGGTTGTTGTATCTCATCAACATATCATCTACAGAAATGATGGAACTTAAGGCTTTCCAACAGAAACATCTCTAAAATACAGTCGACCTCCCTATAATGCAGGTTCATATAATGCAGATTCGTATATCGTGGCAAAAAAATTGCGACCGTATTCATATAAAGACGCTAAAAGAGACTCATGAAATGTGGTAAAATGTCATTGCCAACTCGTGTTACAACAGAGTTGATCGAATCTGGACCAATAGTGGACGAGCAGCCGAACTACTTACACACTACGGAGAGTTTAGGTGGTTAAGTTGAGTTTACTATCGTCTGTACAGTATATAAATTAGGTGCTGTAAGTCTAATACAGTACTGTAATTTTATACATTTCTTGTGAAAAAAACATTTCTTATTCAATGGCCATAAAAATTATTTCTATTAATGATGTCTCCAAAGTTCAGCAAATTTTTCGCAGAAAAATAACTTATCAGAAAACACGCCCACCGTTTGGTGCACTGCTCCGCGACGAAAACAAGCTTAAGCAATGGCGTCGTCGAACGGTGCACACTCGGTAAGTAATCCTACAAATTTTTGTTTATAGCATAGTTTATATGTATTTTGGAAATGTTGAGTCGAATTAGTCTAGAATCGATTAATTTTATGGAAGAAAACCTTTCAAACAACTGTAGTTCGTAAACTGCACATGTGCCGGGCTGTGATTGGCTCATGTATTTAAGGATTCTTATAAAGTGAAACATATCTACCGCATTATAGGGGGGGTCGACTATATTACCCACCTCTGTGGGCTTATTTTTGCTTGGTGATCAGTTGTTATGAGCCAACTGTAGGCACTGTTGGCAATGTATTGATGTTAGCAAAAGCACCTTGATGAGTCAACAGCTGCATAGCATCATGTATGTCAATGTTCTATGCAATTTGCAACAGGAAACTTTTCTATTAGGTTCTTTATTAAAGTTACCTGCAATTTCTATCACATTTGTCATTCTACTACATTTTACAAGGGAGTTCAGTCTTTGTTCTCCTATGGTGTAACTGAAATGTGGTTAACACTTCTTTTGGACTATACCTGGTAGGTACTCCTCACAGTTACAAGGAAACATCCCACCGGCTTCATTGTTTTGGAGATTCTTGTCTCCAATTACTTTGCCATCAAACTTAACCTTGTGTATATCTAGGACCATGCCTATTTTAGTAACAGAACAAACAGTGACTACTAGTCATCATTATGGCTTCTTACTTATAAAGCATTTGACATTTACACATTCAAATGGAATCTCCAGCCTCTATCATTCATTACACTTTAGGATGATTACATTGTTTTGCTAGATTAGTGTATATGAGTACTAAAATGATTTTTGGTGATTTTATTTTATATTCTGAAATGTTTCAAATATAATAATCATAAAAGTTTTTACTTTGTGTTGTTGGAAGTAAAGGTGGTTGCAGCAGTTTATAGAAATAATGTTTTTATTTAATGTTGTTTAAGTCATTAATTTATATTGAATTTCTTAATCATCTATGTTTTCAATAGATTTTTCATAGAATTATAATGTATAAATCTGTTTTGATAGAATTTCAGCAAGAGAAATCTACAAATCTATGAAGGGAAAGTTAAAGAAGACTTAGAAAATTTTCAGGCTGTGTCCCAATCGTCTCAGTTTGTGGTAAAAACAAAAATTACAATTTAAACAATTTTGTAATGTGAAATTGCTTTAATTTATATATTTTTTGTTGAAAATTTTTAGAATAATGTGTACAAAGGTATATTCAATGCATCGAATCAAGAGCTGACACCAGTTCACAAGAGATATAGTAAAATGGATATTTTGTTTGATTAACTTTTTTATATTATATTTGTGCATATAATTAATGGCAATTTACTAAATGATAGTTTGTAGAATAAAGAAAAAGCATCCTTTGACATCCAGAAAAACTAGTAAGGTAGAAGATGATAATAGTCATGACAATGTGATAGGTTGATTGAGTGTTTTGATATAGTAGTTTGAACATGTGTTTTTTTAAACATTAAAATTGAATTAACTTTTTATTTAGAAACCCAAGAAAGTACTCATGATGATAATGAATTTCTTCGATATCTTCGGGATGAATTGCCAGGCATCCATTTATCATCAGCAACTAAAAGACGCATGGAAAGTCAGTATCGCCAACATCTATACCATGTTGGAAGTCAACTTAAAGATCATAATTTAAAAAAATCGAAAACTGAGAAACAGGTTAGTCTCTTTAATTTACTGCAGTTTGAATTAATGAAAATTTAAATATTTAAAGTTTATATATAATAGTACGCAGAAGTGGAGATACAAAAACAGTTAGTATCAAAAATATTTCAGAAAGAAAGAGAACACAATCAAAGGATGGTGAGTTAAATTTGAATTTACTTACAAATTATGTAATTATTGTAAAATTTGATTCTTTGCTTTAGAAAAGGTTAAAGGAAGAAAAACAATTACAACAAAGAGTAAAGAGTACATTACGTGACAATCAAATTAGCAGGATCCGAATGAAACGTAGTTATAATGAGCAGCAGCAGTTTATAAAGAGCAAGATGAACAGGAAGAAGACGAAAGAAGAAAATGTTAGATTGCATTTTAAGATTAAAAACAGTAATTTATATAATATCTAATTGCTGTGAAACTGTGGTTTGTATTATAATAATTTCAAAATACTTAAGTAGCTCTTTATTTTGGACTCTTCACTTTGTATGTAGATCTAATGATTTTAGCACAGTTCCAAATGACCTCAATGTTAGGTTCATTAATGAATGCCAATAAAGATTCCATGTACAAAGCAAGTACATGCCATGGGTATGTTAACTATCATGATCTTGCATGGAAATCTTTATATAAAATGTATCTTTTCATTTTTGTAATCTTAATCTCATTAATCTTCTTTTTCTCAGTGTAAATTCCTGCTGTGTTTGAATGCATTTTTATTGGTCTTTAAACAATTTAAATTTGAATATGAAAGAGAAATAATTGTGTATGATTAATGCTATGTACACAATTGTTCAGAGATTGCACTATTAAATATTATCAATCAAGCAAATAATATTTGAATAATAAAAATGACACTGAAATCATTTTATCAATTAATAGATTTAAGATAATTCAGTTTTTTGCATGATGATTATACTACATTCTCAGGGATTCACTTTAAGGTAATCATGCATGTCATATGATGTTACAAAATTGTGCTTACATTTAAAGTGCATTTATATATACTTATTAACATGAAGAAACTAAATTTAAATTTTAAAAAAATGTTTTTCTATAAGGTGTGTTTCAAATTTATACGGACACGAAAAAATTAAAGTGAAACACAAATTTGCTGCATTAAGTGACAAATGTTTTATTAAAAATAACATGGATTTACATGTTTCCACATTGCAAAATAAGAATTTTAATCAAACATTAACATTTTGTCACTGAAAATAATGTTTATGAAACTCTTATACAAAAAAACTGTTACATATTTATCCGGACAGGTTTCAAATTGCAAAGTTTTCTTACAATTTAATGGCCAATGTAACCACCATTTAACTTAATTACATTAAATACTCGATTAGGCATTGTTTCAATTAGATTCTGAAGGAATTCAATCTTAAGTTTATCCCAAGCATCTGAAATTGCTGCCTTCAAATCATGAATTGTGGAAAACTGCTTTCCATTGGCATAAACTGTACGAACCATCATCCCCCAAAGATTTTCCATCGGATTCAGGTCAGGGCTTCTAGCAGGCCATGTCATCAGATTAATATTTTTACGTTTAAACCACATTTTTGTTGATTTAGAGGCATGCACAGGGGCATTGTCTTGTTGAAAGATCCAATTTGGTCCACAAATATTTGGTCCAGCTTCCAATAAATGATCTTCAAGCATGCCTTGATACTTCTTTGAATTCATTCTTTGAGTTATAAATGCTAAATCTGTGGTTCCGTTGAATCCAAACGCACCCCACACCATTATTGATCCCCCACCCATTTGGCGTTTTGAAAATATTTGTTTTTCGGTTCTTAAATCGTGCCAATAATACTTCCAACCGTCTGGACCATCTAAGTTGAATTTTTTTTCATCACTGAACAAAACTTCAATCCATTCTTCGGACCATGTCATGTGTTTTTGTGCCCAATCAAGTCTGTCACTTTTGTGCTTTAATGAAAGTGGTGGCATTACAGCTTTTTTTCTGAATTTTAACATTGGAGATTTATTTAAAACTCTCCACACTGTTGTGCTGCTACAAGGCAAGTCTAATTCTTGTTTTATTTTTCTTACTGATGTTTGTTTTGTGGAGCAAACCTTGATGATTTGTCTACAATCTCGAGGAGTAAGCTTGGGTTTTGGACCTGTCTTGAATTTTGGTACATCCTTGCCACGTCTTTTTGATAAATAATCACCAACAGTTGATTTTGGACGATTTATATATGCTGCAATTTCTCTTATTGACTTGCCTTGTGATTTATAGGCATCAATCTGCCCTTTTTCATAATCAGATAAATTCTTTGTTCTACCCATTTTAGAACGTTGAACAACGTAAAGAATTTGTATTACAATTAGATATGTAAGCTAATTTGCATATTTCAATGCTTGAAACTAAACAATATTCTGTTTAAGTCATAAAATGAGTGCCTGTCCGGATAAATATGTAACAGTTTTTTTATATATGATTTTCAAAAATATTATTTTCAGTGACAAAATATTAATGTTTGATTAAAATTCTTATTTTGCAGTGTAGAAACATGTAAATCCATATTATTTTTAATAAAACATTTGTCACTTAATGCAGCAAATTTGTGTTTCACTTTAATTTTTTCGTGTTCGTATAAATTTGAAACACACCTTAAGACAAAAAAGAAAGGAATTCAAAATTACATTACTAATATTATATATTGGAGGCAATAAGAGTAGCATTGATAGTGAAACTTAGATAATAAGTCAAATTTTTTAAATCTTATTTGCTTGTTGAAGGTTTCTTGAAGAAATTAAACATTTTTACATGATGATTTTCAATATGTAAGAACATGCCTTCAGTGAACAGCAATGCAATTTTGATTGCTGCTTTTCTTTTTTAAAATGTATATTTCTTTCTTATTTGTAAACTATGAATTTCATGAAATTCTTTTAATTTTTACGCAAGTCTGTATGTAGGTTTTCTGTTTTTTTGTCATCTAAGCACTTTTTATTAACAGAGAACTTTGAATTTATAATACTTTTAGGACTGTGTTATAAAACAAAAATAACTAAAATACATATAAACAAATTAAGTTTCTATATATTTTATTAAATAAAATATGGCTAACTATGGTTGAACTCATTTTTGATTAACAAAATAGTAATTATTGCCATCTACAATTAGATAAATGATAAATTTCTTTAATTGAATTGAATATTCTTTTTGTTAACTTAAAATTAGTTAAAACAAAAAATTTGAATTTCTAGTTAATGAGAGAATTATACGAAGAAGGTTTAGCAATACAGAAGGAAGAATTAAGAGAACTGCGTAAACTTGCAAAAGAAAGAGAAGAGAAGGAAGCTCAAAATCATAAAATGTATATGGAATCTATGGAAAATTTGTATCCTTTTTTTAAATTACAATAGACTAAATCAAGAAAGATAAATAGCACAATGTTCTTGAGTCCTTGTAAAATGTTTATGTAGTACAGTCGGACTACTTCCTGTAACTTCTAAGGTTTAAAAAAAGTCAAGAATTGAATAAACAACATCCATACAAACTCATAGGCCAAGACATATCCACCACACCACTCGTATGAATATATTTGTGCCAGATTGTATAAATCCGATAATATAACTTAAAATTGATTTTTTTTCCTTGTAACTGTTAACGATTGAGGATTATTCATTATTATGTATACCTTTAATTTCATATTTATTTTAAACAAAATATTTAAAAGTTGTGTATTAATTTCTTTAAACGTGTGTTTAAAGTAATACTAGAATGTTTATTTTACTTCTAAGGCTGTGTTTATGCAGACATATGAAATGCAAGAAGAGATAGACAGATGGAGAGGGGAAACCAAGCAAACCAATGCCACACACTGCAGAAGTACACTCATTGTTTTCCTTCTGTTTGTATTCATGAAAAAGTGGAAAGGAAAAGTCCAATGAATTTTATAATATATACTACATCCATTTGCCACATTTTGATGAACTGGCATCATGTACAATTGAATTATAAAATTGCATCCTGTGTTTTTTTTCCAGCTTCAGGGCCATTAATGTTCAACAAATTCTTGACATGCTTTACTGATCCATTTTATTATTGTTGTTGCACAGAAATGAGGCTGCCAAACTACTATGCATACACCAATTCAGGATAGGAGAGAAAAATATGAAAGTTCAACAGATTGAACTTTTGACAGCAAGGGAAACTGATGCATTTCTTTCACCTAACGTGTGAGAACTTCACGTCTGTATTCTGCATAAACTGCATCATAAATGAAAAATCTGATCCTGAAAATTATCTTTTGCCTGTTTTTCTGTCATCTGCATAAACAAACCTAATACATGACTGTAATAAATGTTTACATGTTTCTACACTCTTGATTTTATACACACAAATATATGTATATATCATTTTGATTGCAAATTGAAAATATTTTGTATTTAAAGTTTAATACCATCTTGGCAAAAATATAAATCAACTTTCAATTTTGGAGTCTACTTTCTGGATAAAAAATTAGGAGCTGAATATTAGTTGACATTTTTATTATTAATTTAATTAATTTTGCATACAAAATTAGCAATATAATCAGCGTAAATAAAATTTTTTATTGATTTCAGTGCTTCCTTGCATGTTTCATGACTATGAAAATCAAAACACAAAATTTTGTCTTTTTATTTTGCTTGTCTTAGTTTTCTATAACTATCTAAAACATGTAATTATAAATTTATGCATTTGATATGTTCATAATAGAAATTTACACTTTACAACAAGATAGCATTCATGATAAGTTTTCAGTAATTATCTTGTAGTAGACTGTAAATAAATGTCTTTTCTTTCTTCCTGTCCTTACTCACACTTTTCCATTAATCACAATAAAACTTCAAAGTTAAAATGCTTTGCACTAAATATAATTTTAATAATCTTTTCTTTCTTTCATTTGTGAACTTTAGTTTAATTAAAAATGAAAGTTGTTTTTCTTAACACAATTCAGTTATAAAAATCAACTCGAAATGCTTACTGAAACCATCACTGCAGAGAAAAATCTATTGGAACAAAGAGCAAAAGCTCAGTCTAGAGTGAGTATTTTAAAGAATTTTTCAATGCTTTCAGAGGAAACAGAAACTTTATTTATAGAAAGGTAATACATTTTACTGATATCAGTATGTCAGAAATGAAGAAAATTTAGTAATGTAATATACAGTCGACCCCCCTATAACGTACATTCCTATAACGACAATTCCTATAACGTAGCGAAAAAATTGTAGAAACTTTCGTATAAAGTACCTCCTATAACATTGTTTCGCGACAAGATTGATAGAGTCTGGACCAATAGTGGATGAGCAGCCAAACTACTTACCTCCGACCCTGCGCCATGCTACGGAGCGGCTAAATTGAGTTTGCTATCGTCTGTTTAGTATTATATATAAATTAGGTACTGTATATATAATTATATATTAACTTAATTTATTGTAACTTTATTATAATTATATATATGCTTTCTGCCGCCTGGAAACAGCTACGGAGATTTTAGGCTAGTAAGTTGAGTTTATTATCGTCTGTACAGTATGTAAATTAGGTACCGTAAGTCTAATACAGCACTAATTTTATACATTTCTTGTGAAAGAAACACTTCTTATTCAACGTCCATAAAAATTATTTATATTAATGATGTCTCCAAAGGTCAAGTTATTTTTATGCGAAAAATTCGTTATTAGAAATCGTGGCCGCCGTTTAATGTGCTGTTCCGCGATGAAAACCAGCTTTAAGCAACGGTGTAGTTGAATGGTACACACTCGGTAAGTAATCCTATAATTTTTTGTTTATAGCATAGTTTATACAGATTATTCCCAAAAAATTATACGTATTTTGGCAATGTTGAGTCAAATTAGTCTAGAATCGGTTAATTTTATAGAAGAAAACCTTTCGAACAGCCTTAGTCCGTAAAGTTCCCACCTATCGGGCTGCGATTGGCTCATGTATTTAATGATTCGTACAACGTAAAATTCGATTAGCGTGGAACGTATCTAAGCGTTATAGGGGGGTCTACTGTATATTTACTGGAGATTCCCTGGATTCTTAATGGCTCTACTAGAGTGAGTGATTAGGAGAGAGATAGGGAGGGATATAACTAGCATATAATGAATTTGGAATATCAATAAAATATATTGTCTTGTATCATTAAAGATTTTCTTTCTACTAAAATTTCTTATTTTGACAATTGTTTTCTGTCAGGTGTTGGAACAAATACGTCGAGACTATCGCAGTAAAATGGAACGTCAGTTGAAGGATTCCAGAAATAAATTGCTTTCTAATGGAGACTTTCATTTCCGAGAGGCAGATGCAGAAAGAATTAGAAATTTGTGGAAGAAGAAAGGGACTACAAAAGTACTTTCTAATCAAATACTTAGGAAGAGAAAAAACTGAAATGTAGTTTGTATAGAACTTTTTGTAAATACAGCTTGTAATTAATCTGAATATTATAAAACTATGAATTAAATGTTCTTGTAATAAATGTCGACATTAATTATTATAAAACTATTTATATAAAAAGTTGTTTTCTGAACTTTGACAAATATTTTAAAATATTTTTAACCCTACAGAATTTTAGTTAATATACAAATGAAGTACATAAAGTATGAAACAGAATGTGACACTATAACTTTATGTATCTTTATGCAACAGTATTTTATATTCTAACAAAATATAAACAAAATTGAATCATCAGAAATCTTTTTCTTTTAATTTTTTTCCAGTTAGCAGTTGTTTTCTTCGTTCTAATATCATAACATTTATCATATATCTACACAGATAAGACGAGGTATAAATTTTCGTCAAAGTTTTATAGTTTTAGCATATATCTGTCCTATAAGATGACCCCCAAACTATCAATGGCCTATGAATTTAGCTTAGATCAGCGATCATCATTTGGATAATAATACGGTATAGCGTATATGGAATTATGTCCTATTCGTAATTTTTTGAATGAACGAATTTTATTATCTTTCATCCGGCAGAACTGCCTTACGATTGTTGCAAACATTTACACTGATTTGGGCATTTGGACCTTGACTATTCACAAAAATGTCGTATGAACTATTCTATTTTGTGGACATAGCCTACTCTCTACCTGTAAATAATTATGGTTTGTCAGTTTTTATAATGATTTTAATTTATATAAATTTCAATCTATTTTTTTTTCTGTTTTGTATCTGTCCTATAAGATATTGCCCAACCTTTTTATCGCTGCGGACTGGTCAACGTTTTATATTTTACCACGGCCCACTGAGGGGGGATGTTGATCGTTTATATTTTAGATTGATTTAATTTAATAATTTTAATTTAATTGTATTTAAACATGCCTTCAAAATAAAATACAGTTACACCAAAAAATGAATGTTAAATCAATGAGAACCCTGAGCTTGTTTCTTTGCAACAAGATGGTTCCATCTGGGGGTAATAGGAGACAATGACACCCGAAGTGTGTTTCTTATGTCCAGTTTATTCCGTTGTTCCGTCGTCCATTAAAAGTCGCACAAACCCGAGAGAAATACACCATAGTAAATAAAATGGAAATACCAGTAATTTAATGTTCCTTGGGCGGCCTGGTACCATGTGATCCACGGCCCGGGGGTTGGGGACCACTGCTATAAGACGACCCCGGATTTTGGAGGTCTTTTTTTATGATTCAATTATTGTCTTATCTGCGCAGATATAAGGTAAATTAAAACACAATTAGTAGATCCCTGTTTTATCATCCTTTTATGTCTGATACAAATTTTCTATTATAATTATAATCATGTGAAATGTTCTGTTTAAAACTATTTTTTGTTGGCTATTGTACAATGAAATGGTATTTTCAGGATCAGAACTTGAAAGCATTGGGATTATTTTCTGAGAAGATCTCTAGTGCAGGAATCAACTTATGTAGGGAATTTGACAAGATCACTGTAAATATCTTCTTAGATGATTCTCATTTTGTCTTTTGAATTGTTTCCTTGTTCTTCGGTTAATTCTTGAAGTACCTTGTTCACCATATCTTATGATTATTTATTAAATCTATAAAGATAATCACCTCAGTTTCTTTAAAGTTCATTGCTCATACTGTTTGAACACTTTTTGTATTAATTTCATTCTGTACTCCATTATGCTCTTTAACAACATTGGGCCACATTGAGAAATACTTTAAGATATCGATCTGTTATTGCTGATTGTTTACATAATATACAGTACATAAGTATTTTCTTTACAAGTCTTTGATCAACTGATGTTCAATCTCAGCCAGTTGATTAAAATTGAATCATAGAGAGTACATTTGTTTTGTTTGCCAAGACATTAAGCAAACTGCTAATATAAAGGGTATGTGATACTACATTTATTAATTTTGTTAACAGTATAAATCAGTGTTTTTCAACCTTCTTGAATAAGCGACCCCTTTACAAGTTAAAATATTCTGGTGACCCCCAGGGCCATATTAAAACTATGTCAGTGATTTTAAAAACTACGTATTTAAGTTTCTTTCTGTTGAGACCTAAATATCGATCTAAACACCAATTGTACTGTAAAATAAACAGGCATAGCCTTCTCACTGAGATTGTAGTTTTTTTTTATTGTAGTGTAGGACCTACAAACACTTGTCTTTTTCTTTTACCCGCGACCCCCATGCAGGGCCGGCCATCGGGGGTGTGCGGCGGATGCTATGCACCGGGGCCCCGCGATTGAGGGGGCCCCAACATTATCGCTTTAAGAAATGAAAATAATACTGTGGCCGTCGGCCATATAAAATTATATGTATATTTGTATATAGTCGTAGTTTTAATGGTTTAATTTAGTTTATTTTATAATTTCTTCTATCTCTTTTTGTCTGTCTTATTTCTGGAACTTTCTGGTGACCGTTATTGTCTGGGTCAGATTCGTTCTAAGAATCAAAGAGAACTGTTATAACTGATCTGTTATAACTTGATCTAAGTGTCAGGTCAAAGGTAGAAATTCCTACATACTTTTCGAATGTCTGAGTGAGTTCTTGTGTAGTCGTCACCCCAGGTCAGTTGTATCCGAGAGTGAATTAAATCTGATTTTTCTGATATTTCCCATAAGCAACAAACTTCAATTATTATTAGGTATGTAAATTTTGAAGAGAAAAGATTAATTGTAAATGAGTCATTTATAGGGTTTATTGAAGCAACTGATGTGACTGGAGAAGGACTAGCAAAAAGTCTATTGAAAACATTAAGTGAGCTTGATTTAGATATGAATTGTACAGGGCAGGGATACAACAACGGTAGCAACATGAAAGAGAAATATAAAGGTGTACAATCTAGAATAATTGCTAATCCCTCATGCAATATATGTGTCTTGCCTATCACACTCTTTTAATTTATTAATTCGTGATTCCGCTTCCAGAAGAACATATTGTAAAATATTTTTGGGGATATTGCAACGTTCATATTGCTTATTTTCTGCATCTACGAAGAGATGGAAAATTCTAAAAAAGCATTTAAACATTACTCTTAAACCATTATGTAAAACTCGTTGGGAAGCCAAAGTAGATTCGGTTAAAGTAGGGTATACACAGTTTGAACAAACTTGTAATGCCCTAGAAGAATTTATTGATATAAGTAACGATAATACAGCAGTATCCAAAGCTAAAAGTCTATTGGATTCAATACAAGAAATGCCATTTATTTTATGTTTAATAGTATGGTTTGCAATATTGTGTAAAATTAACGCTATCAATATACTATTTCAAGCGAAAATAATTATTCTTGAGTCTACTTTTAATCTATACCTATATCTACGCTTAAATGCACTTGCTATATTAAGAATCGAAAAAAAAATTTGCAGAAAAAAATTGTAATTTTTCTAAGTAGTTAATGTATTAGCAAAAAACAAAATCAAGCTTTAAATAAACATGCATTAGTAATGTATGTTCGTGTTTGTAATTTTTTTTTTACTTTACAAAAAATTTAGGCCCCAAATAGTTTCTTGCACCCGGGCCCCTTTATAGAGAAGGCCGGCCCTGCCCCCATGTAAGGCTTTGCGACCCCCCTGGGGGTCATGACTCACAGGTTGAAAAACACTGGTATAAATGAACACTAGCTACTGACTCCATAAAGCAAAGTGTAAATTTGTTTTTAATTCTTTCTTTACTCTGTAATCCTTACAGGTAAGTTTGAGAATTTCAATGTAGCACTTCTAACATTCAAAGGTTTTGAATGACGATGACATTATTTGTTTAATTTATTGTTACAAATGCATTTCAGAATGATTATAATTTTGTTCCCTCTTTCATATTTATTAACTTAAAATAGTTTCCACAATTTTTTGAGTTCAAATTCATCAAGACAGTGTCATTTTAACTGATGTGTAAATGATGCAATCTTTCTTAGATATTTAGTGTTACTTCAATTGTGTAAAATATTGGAGAATATTTTAATAAGGTGAAATAGTGAATGATTAACAATTTTAATTCTTATTTAAATTAACAATATGAATTATTATTATTCATTTGGCCAACAAATTATTATTTGGTCAATATAACAATATAAATAATTCAGTATATTTGTAATAGGAATTTATTATTTCATGGGCTTATATCTCGCGAAGGGTTGCGAGTAGGGGTATGGTTCCTTTGCCTTTATTGTTCGCACATGGGGGTCGCCACCTCTTCACCTAATCTTACCATTGGGACTACAACAGAGCTGTAGAGCATATTGATAGGAACAAAAAAGTCAAAGGAACCGTGCTTCATGGAAATTTGTAAACAACTCCCACTAGGGGGTGTCCCGGGCTACTAGTCTGTACTAAATCAAAGATGTAATCTGATTTAATTATTTTCCATTTATGATTGACTTCTAAAATTGTGAAGGGTTGGTAAGGGCCTTACAGAGTTCAGCTCGAAATGCATAAATCCGGCCCCGTGTCCCATACAAAATTACTGGCATTTTAAACTTTAAGGAAAAATCCTTCAAAATTGATGGCATAACTTGTTCACGTAAAGTTGGATAATCAGAAAACTTTTTCCAATCCTTAACAGTCTAATATACTCTTTTAGAATTCGGAGAAACTCATAGATATAACCGACCGGTTTCAGAATACAGTAATTCTGTTTTTGATGTGAGAATAGACGAAAACTTATATTGGGCTCCCATACGGCTTTGAAATTGCAATTTGCAAACGCAACAAAAAGCTTTACTTTTTCTATTGCTATTCATCTTTACTGCTGATAATACACAAGAATGATTCAAACGACCCATATAAAATACAGTTGACTCCCATAACAGTTGATTATTCTGTTTTATATGAATTCCATGTTGTACGAGTCACTTAGATTTTACAAATATGTGAGCCAATCACAGCCCGGCACACGTATTTGTAAAATTTAAGTGACTCGTATAACATGGAATTATCAACAGTGTTATAGGGGGTCGACTGTAGTTTTGTTTTTAAATACCAGAGGGCGAGCAACCGGTGAAAATCCGGCTCGCATTGCAGCGTAATGACCAGTACAGTATATATCTATCGACTCTGATA